TTTCAGATCGATACCTCGTTTTTTGGCCAAGTTATAGCGAAAAAACTGTTCAAAAATGATGACGTCAAATTTTCAAACTCAATTTTTGGCAATTCTAGAACTCGTAGAGCAAAACAAAGACCACCATTAGACTCCCCGTGACGAGCTGCATCGAATGGATACCCATTTTATGCAAAAATATCAACTTTGAAATTTGACCTAATTTGACCTGACCTTGACCTGACCTTCACCAAAACGTGACCTAGGCTGGCCCCAAAGGCTGCCTAACCCACATAATCGCATTTATCATGTAAAATGGACCATAAAACATGTATCACACGACACATTCATATTGTGACCCCCGGTGACCTGACCTCGCTGTGACCTGACCTGGTATCAGTGACCTCAGATAGCAAAGTATGTGTTTGACGAACAATATACCATCGATGGTTTTCAACAAATTACCAATTTACTCGATTTCACAGCACATTTCTTGAATTGCCTGTGAACGGTGAAAATCTGACCTTTGACCTGACCTGTGACGTCATCGGTTTGACCTAGGTCAATGAAATTTGGTCACAAGGTAGTTCCCGGGTAGGGCTATCAAACGCCGTTTGAATTTTGAAAATCGGCCTGTAACTTTCCGAGATCTTAGGGGGGGGCCGAAACGGCCCCCCCCCCCCCCCTACGGGTGGTAGGGTCCGCCGGTAGCCCTACGGGGCGCGGGTTAAGGCGGTCACCGTGCCCCTAAACCAACCACCGACGTGCTCTGGAAGTACAGCAGTCGCTAGTATTTTGCTCTATCTAAGCGCATTACGCTCGTTTAACATGCTTTCCTCATCGCCATTGTGGTCGATCGGCCCCACAGATGAGCTGTGGCGGGGCGGGGAGGGCAGCGGGGGAGGCAGGGGCACTTTCTGCAAGGCTTTGCTCGCTCGGTGACGCGCTGGGTGAGCTCCGCCATAAATTCCCTGTCGGAGTCCGCTCAGCCGGCCGGGCCATGCAGCGGCAGACGCCACGCTCCCTCTCCTCCCCTCCTCTCTCCCTTCTCCTCCTCTCCTCTCCCCTGTGCCGGGCTGACAGTTCGTCGGGGCACCCAGCCAGACTGGCAGAGGTCTCACATGGCGACCGGGGGCGGCATATGGGGTGCGCCACGAGATGCGGGAAGAAAACCAGTCCTTTCTGATTTATCTATACTGGAAAGGACCCAAACCGTATTCTCATCTTGATACAGGACGGCATGCGAGCTACGGTATGGAAACGGGAATATCTGAAGATATTCCAACGGAATATCTAAGATACGAGACCGGACGAAACGAATGGAATACGGGACGAAACCCACATTGGATAGGGGGCGTGGAAGGGGAATCCATGCTCCCCCTACCAAAGCTGGTTCTCGTGCCGTATCCCGTTCGTTTCGTCTGATCCAGTATCTTAGATACTTCCCTACGTCTTGGTTTGATACGGACCAACCATTGCTTGGTCACGTGAATTAGTGCACATGCTTCACTCTTGGTCACATGACAGCGTACCGTCGAGAGAAGCGACATGGTGCATGCTGGACACGGAGACACAAGGCTACATACGTGACCAGACAAAAGTTCTGATCCGAGAGAAGAAAGTCTGTTTATTTGGTCACGGATCCGGCTGAGCGATACGTGAGGTAACATGGTATTTAATGACGTCACTTGTTGATGTGTGACGTCACTTGACCCCCGTGACTTTTGTCGGAGGTGTCGTATGTCGGCGAGGCCGGTGGGCGGCCGTCTGGGTCAGTCCAGGACGGCCGTCTGATCTTCTGAATGGCGGACCGCTGTCGTTTGTAACGTGTGGAGGTCAGAGGCCGGGCACGCGAGTTCCACGAACGCCGTTACCGGCCGGCGAGCCACACTCAATCGATGGGGTATCTGGGGAGAACTTCACTTTGCCATCAGTTCAGAGGGCTAAACCGCTGTGGACTCTGCGGCATGCTACCCGTGAAGCTGATTGATCTGGTTGAAATGAGCAATTGTATTTGTATGATGCACGTACCTTGTTACCTACGGGCCAGTCTGAAACTCGGTTACGAGCTCCTCTACACTTCCTCACACCAAATAGCATCACTTTTATCACTGCCCGTTGCCCAAGGCCCGCTACCAAGCACCGTGCATGCCTGCGGAATGCATATTGTGTTGACTTTTGGGATATGTACCGTATTGTGCGGATAAAGATCGTTGAACGTGTCTTCATACCCCGTCTATTTTTGTGTCGATGAATTAGTGTATGTGTTTCAAAAATGATTGTATTTTTATAGTCTGATATGGAGTCATTCGACCCCTCTCCCCTCCAACACCTCGGTGAATCCGCCAGAGACTTCGATTGTCAGCTTGGAGCAAGACGCGCAGATTATATTTTGCGCAGTTGTAATGTTTCGCGTGGCATGTCCCTGACAAAACGACTTGTGCCGTGAAGAGACCTTACGCAACAATAGGTAGGTAGTATTGTTCAGCATTGTGACGTATTTTATACTGAGTTGTATAAACGTTGATGCATGCTTCAAGCAATGCATCTTGAAGTTGAGATGAAAAAGTGCAAACGTAAATAGTGCCAGGCAGTAATAAACATTAAATCCTTATAATTCTAGAGGTGCAGTTTGCACAGTAATGGTGAAGACTTCCCGTAGCTGCTCTACAGCTCTACGGACCCGGGAGAATCGTGCGGCCATCTGCAGCTGTACGATAAACTTACTATCGAAATTTTCACGGCGCGGCGGACCTGGCGCGACCCAAGTGGTAGGTCCATGGTGCTGCGCAACAGGCTTTGCTGAGCGGTTACTCGCGCCCGTTACCACCTATTGAACTAGTCACGTACTGTAAGTACAGGAGTGGTTAAGAAGCACAGGCAGGACTGGTTCGGTGACCATGGGGATAGGTTGTGGGCTTAATTGTTCCTATCATGAATTACGCGATGCGTTGTGATGCTCATTCAATGCTGGGCGTGACACTTGTGTAGCATTTCCTTAACTGGCAGTAGTCAGCTAGCGCCTGCGCCTAGCATAGTGTCTATTGCTCAATTTTACTTTATTGGTCCCCTTTCTCCGATGACTGACACACGTGTTGCTGATGGAGGGCGGAACACAGGCTGAAACTGCGTGTCGAGATCCCGCCACGCACCGCGTGTGCCCTGACTGCCTCGGCCCTACCCCTGACCAACGGCATGTCGCCGCTTATGGGCTTTCGCTCGTGACTTTGGCATATTAACTGAGCCCGTACCAATCATGTGTGGATATATTTCGTAAATATATGGTCATTGGCTTTTGCATGACGTGATATTATGGCGTACTATTTTGTATCCAGTTTCATTATCCTCATGCTGGTTATGAGCCTGCTTGTTCAGATAACTTCGCTTGTTTATAGTTAACGATGTCCTTTATATTTGTCTCGAAATCGCTAATCCAGGGCTCCACTGTTATTTTTCTTCAATAGGAAAGTTCTGCTCCTTTGACTCTTCTCGGTCTTTATCTGCCAAATGCATTTATTGTCAGTTGTAGAGATGGTATTTACCGCGTACCTACCATTATTTGATCGTCTACTTCTATTGTTGATCGATACGACACAGCTCACAGTTGATGGGCATATCGTCCTAAAAAACAACGCTCATGTTCTAGTGTGCTACTTTTAACGTGATATTCAGCACTTGGCATCAGCTTAGTTACTCGGCACATAATGCTTGCGTGATCATTCTTATTGGTGTTTCATTGCTATCAAATATTCAACCTTATCTCGAATAGGTCCATCTAATATCCTTTGGGAAATCAATGAAAGTTGTGATTAGCTTTTTATACATCTCAGGAGATATGAAGTAGGCAATGCGCAGGCGTCTCGAAGGATAAGATCGTTACGTCGTTTAAGCTAGTTTATTCATCGCACTGTTTTAGCACTCTGAAGCTAGCGTAGTTTTGTGAAACTGTGAAGATCTGAAGCTGGTTTGAAGGGTTTGAAGCACCTAGCCTCAGGATATTAGATTTTCGTTAATATATGAAGAGACTTTAAAGTTCAAGCAGCAATGATGGAGCGCTATGTGTTGCCATGGGGCGGGGGCTGGGCATAGGGTTAGTGTCGACAGTAGTTGTGGTGGGGGCGGGAGGGGGGGTAGAGGGAGGGTACCGGGCGCCGGGCGCCTAATCCGAACTCATACATTAGCCTGATGATGATCGCTTTCACAGTACATCTTACGCCGTCTGGCGCCTCCATTTAGCCCCACGACCTTTATAAGGCTGATCCCTCAGTTTTACCAGGAAACCTGACTTTGTGCAGGTATTTGAAGGCTACTTTAAGCGAGGTTTATCTGGTTGTCTGTCAGACGATTCGGTAGAAACTTGTGATCGCATTACGGGTAGATCGTGGCGTAATGTCACACTCAGCTGTGTACTGTTTGACACCGTTACCAAGTGTTCGACCTTCCTTGATCATTGCTGTCCGATGTGTCTCACTCGTTCTTACGCTTGGTCGGGTTTTATGCCTCTGAGATATAGGAAAACTCTTGAATGATTGAGGTGATGGGGTCACAACTTCAACAGATGCGACCGTGAATTGGAGTGACTTCTGTTTCAATACCTAAGTTGATGTTTTTCCTGGCTGGAAACGTTATACTCGTATGTGTAAATAGCAGCTGCGGTCCTAGCTCCTAACTATACTATACCTACTATATGTAGCCTGTACTGTACACTTGTACAGTCACTAGTCAGTCTTGAATGAGCCGCGCATCGGTGCTGTGGATCCGTCAAGCCCGACGGAGGAAGGGCTGCTAAATTTGAGCTACCGAACCTGTGGACATCCCCATCCATCCCCTAGATCAACGGGTCCGGTGACTCAAATTTAGCAGCGCTTCCTCGGTCGGGCTTTATGGATCCACCGCACCGATGCGCGGTACTTTCAAAACTGACTGTACCTGGGCGATGTCGGTCGGAAATGGTTGTTTCGTCACCTCTCCTAGCTGCATTATATGTTCTCGTGACACATTACTCCCGTTTCTCTCTCCAGCACGTGCGAGAGCCTGTCGCAGCACTGCCCGAACCTGTACACACTGGACCTGAGGTCGACCAATGTGGGAGACCGCTCACTCAAGTACCTGTCGGACGGGTGTCACAATCTGCACCGGATCAACATCTCTTGGTGCGGCGACATCACCGAAAACGGTCAGTACTAGGGAGATGACGTCGATTTTCGTTGCTTTCGCTTGAATACTTTTGACACAGTAACAATTCGAACTTTGTCCAGTTTCATACTGACCACCCGTTATAAAAGTATCAGGTGTGGCGTCATATAATATTACCGGGATTACGTCATATAGAAACAGTGCCGGAAATGCAGTGTTCCAAAATTGGATATTGGTTGGGTGTGCCGATGAAGAAAAAAAAAATCCTAGGATGAGAAAAAAGAAAGTAAATAACTGCAGTATTTTTGCAAGATGGTATACGCCAATTTTTATGCCAACTGATAAACCAGGATTTCATGTCAGGATCTTGACAGGGTGTGGAACAAAAGGATGTGGATACATCAACTGTCAAGTGACATGTAAACTGGCTGTTGGGAATACATTGAACTTTTTTCAGAGATGAAGTAAAGTCGGTCATTCATATTTTAGGGATGAAAGTATTTTCCCCATTAGGTGTGCTTTGCCACCAAAAAGTCTGAAAAATGGAACACTGCGGAAATGACACCGTATAAAAGGTCTGGCGTGCTTGGACTGACTAGGATAAATGCGAGACCTTGGATGCGAGTTACTTCTTGTTGTATTTTTATTATTGTTTGCTAAACGTTAACAATGACTTTTGTTCACTCAAGTCACGCAACTGCTGTTTGCCATTGGCGGGACGCTCACGCCTCTCGTATTCTTTCTTTATCAAATTATGACCTTTTTCTTTTTGGTCACAGTGCTGGGCTGTTCCAGCATTGTTTCTGCATCGAAGTTAGCTCAGTAGTTTTATTTAGGCTAAAAAACGTCCTCACTCTTTGCATCTTTTTGTTCTATTTTTTCTTCTCTTTTTTCTTACTGTTATTGACATTTCAGACACTTCTGACCAAATTTGTTATCCATCTTTCCTCAATACCTCGTGCTGTGCTGAATCTAATATCCGCTCTATCTGACCTTGCACGCTCGGCTCTGCCCCAGGCGTGGAGGCGCTGGCTCGCGGCTGTCCGAAGCTGTCACACTTTATCGCCAAGGGTTGTGACCAGATCAATGACGCGGCGGTGGTACAGCTGGCCCGTCACTGTCCTGGCCTGGAGGTGGTCAGCCTGGAGCGCTGTGACGTGAGTAACAGGACGTGACGTGACGTGATGAGCGTCACGTCAGGGAGGCGTGCCTTGGCATCCCGCAGCACTGACCTAGTAGCGGTAGAGCAGACATAGTGAGAAGTGTTGTTTGTTCAAGCGGAAAGCTTATTCACAAGAGAGAACGCACTTGAAAGTTTCCTCGTTCTGCTGCAAAGTATTGCACTGTGTCGTGGTCTTTGACCTCCTTGTGGTACCCAATAGTGCATGCTCTTCGTAAGGTGAGTGACCTCCAACTTTATGAATGTTCCCGAGTGCCTGTGCTCTTGACTGCTAAATTACCTGATTATCTGTTGCCCAGCGACGAAATGTCATCTTGCACCAAGGCACATTCAGTTTCGTATTCGTCACATGTCATCGGTGGCCCGCCACGTGATGTGTCGCTAAGGAAGCGAGTTCGATCCCCAAAGGGTCGTTTGGTTTTCATTCCGACCTCGTGGGCAGTATGAGCATTGAGCAGTGACACGGATGGTCACTGCCCGAGGCTAACTCGAGCCAGATGTTACTCCCACTAGTTTCGCCGTTCTTCCAGCGACTGAAATGGATATTTTCTTAGTTGATGGATTGTCGGAGGCCTCATGGGAATGAACAAAATATACGTTTTTTGTTGTCATTATATTAATAGGCGCCAAAAAATCGTATAGGTCGATTTTAAAATAGGTAACTAATAAGTTGAAAAAATAATCGAGGTGCGCGACTCTTCGTCACCTTCAGTCGAGTTGGGCGAGTCTCTGTGATTACCCATCAGCCACACAAGCGGATGTGTTATTTTCTCTGCACATTACTCATGCAAAAGGCTTATATGCGCCAGCCCGCCGAAGACTGTAAGGTGCCACACTTTACACCGTATGCACAGGTTGTGAAGCCATAGGCTGAAGAGGCGATTTCGGTCGACGACTTCGGAGAGGTACGCATTACGAACTACGCGTCGGGGTGGTCCCGTGAGATTAACTTAACCGCTTGTCTCGGACGTTTTCAAGTCAGCGTAGGTTCGCGTAAAAGGGCTCTTTTGAATTCATTGTTTTTAGACCCTGCAATGTTATATAGACGTTCATTTTGAGTCTAGTTATGTCAAAAATACTGTGTAAAAGTGGAGGCCCGACGTAGATTTTTACTCATCGAGGGCTCTTCGACATAGGCGTCGCCAGAGATTTTCGGTTGGGGGGGGGGGGGGAAATCAACTTTTGTGCTAAAACTTGCCTTTCCCCAGTCTTTACTCACTCGTTTTACATATCATTCGACGCGCAATGGTGCGAGGAATCCGATGGTGACATATCACATAGGTTTCCTTCTAGCTATAACATGTAATTTTTTAGAGAAAAATTCGAAATTTTGAAATTTCATGACAAAAACGACTGGTAGAATTATAGTATATAGTGGCTGCGATTGCCGACGCACTGCAGAGGGCCCCTGTGCAGACGCTCGACGCTCATGATCATTACCTAGAAAAAGGGGTGAAAAATGCTCCATTTAATCGGATCACCCTGCTAAATCCTCCATTCACGCATGCATGCAGAGGTTTTACGTGAAATGCATAGGACTTATCCCAGCCGCCAATCGTAGCTAAGTTGGGCATTCGGCGGAGAGTGAATGTCGGAAGTGTGGATCGGAAGTAATTCCTCTTTGCTCCAGTGACAGGAAGTGTTTTGTTCACTCGAGTGTAAACACAAGTTTCTCGTTTTTCGTGTGAAGGGAAGCGCTGCAAACGCGAAAAAAAAACTGTTAAACGGAACCAAAAGTTACGCACGGCATAGCGGCAAGGGATCCCTTAGAGATAGGTTTGGGGCTTCCAGGCTATTTCAGGCCACTCAGGATCAGTGCTGACTCTCAGAAGCATGCTTAGGATCCCGGAGATCGGCGTGGGTCACCTCAAATATTTACGTATACGTGGTGCTTTAGGGCTTTCCGAGCCCAAGGTCGGGCCCTCAGAAGCCAGTGTGGGCGGCGGGCGCTAAGAGACTAGGCCCAGGGTTAGCCTGGAGCCCTCGGATAACAGTGTGAACCCTCGGGGTCTGTGTCGAATCCCTAAGGACCCTACGTAGGGACATAATAAACATGTGTTGCGAACCTCAGAGGGACACGTGAGCTGTGGCCCCTCAGATGCCGGCTTGGGGTTAGCAAAGTCTGTCGCCTCAAAAATTTGGCTGAACTATCAAAGGCCAGTTAAGGTTCTCAGAAATGTTCGAAGGCTCAAAGATCCCTGTATGGGCCCTCAGAGAACATGGACACCAGTGGGACTTTCAGAGGCCGGTTTGGGCCCTCTGAAAGCTTCTTTAGGGCTCAGTGGAACTCCTTAGGAGCCTTTGTTTAAAGCAAGCTCATGAGCCCTGCGACACTTGTATGATACTTGAGCCTGTCGCAGACATTTGACGAGAGTTGAGAAAGGCCCCGAAGATTTTCACGCTTTGAACGAAAATTGTGTCAGCACTCCAAAACTTATGAAAATCAGCTGTAAAATGTAATAAAGAACGAACTAGGAACACGGAATGAATCACAGCATTGACATTTCCGAGTCGGGACTCGGAGTCTAGAAGATTTTGGCGACTGCGAGTCAGACTCTGGTTTGAATTGAACTGCACGCTCCAACGGAGTCTGACCTCACAGGCATTCTCAGAAAGGTACCCCCATTTTTCCCGACTCCAAAATCTCATCGGATCTGTATCGATCTCAGGGGGTGCCCGGTCCGAGGTTGGGGGGGGGGCAAGCTGCCCCGCTTGCCCCCCCCCGTGGCGACGCTAATGCTCTTCGAGGATCTCGCCCATGCCCCAGGGCGTGGTTATTGGCTTTTGCGGCAATCATTTAACCCGCGCACCGACGGGGGTCTGCGCCAACTTCGCACCGACGGGGGGGGGGGGGCGGTGAGATCTCGAGAACGAAGCAAGATAGCGACAAGCGGTAAACGGCATCGGATACGCACGGACAAGGTCTACAATTTTTACTAAGGTCATTTTCAGGTCAGGTCAAAGATGACGTCACAGGGGTCGAAAAAGTCAAAATGGCGGCGCTAGATATGGAGAGTTTTTCTCGAATAACTTTCGAATTAGTCAAGATAGGAACAAACTAAGTGCATCATCGTGATCCTCTCGTCAATCCGCATCGAATGATGTATATGTTGACCTCGAAAGGTCAAGGTCAAAGGTTGACCTCAGGTCACGTGACCTCGAGGTCATCATGCATATCGTTCGATGCGTCTTGACGAGCTGAACACAATGAGACCATCCGCGCGGCTGTATCTTGTTCCTGTACGGAGTTATTGGCAAAAAGCCTTTGGTGACCTTTGATGACGTCATATGACCTTACAGCTGCCCAACAGCAAAACAGACCTCAAGGTAGTGAAGGTTGATCGTATATGAAGTCATGTATGGTATATGGGGCCATTCCGACCCGTTTTAGTGGTAAAAACAGGGAGTTGATTTTTCCCCCTTTGACTTATAATCGCGAAATTGACCTGACCTTAGGTCACCGACATCAAAATTCCGAGAGATACAAATTGTAGCTACTAATGACCTAATAACATCCTGCGACTTTCAAAGGCCTCGGACTTCTACTGTAGCTCTGGCACGGTGACAAAGTTGCAAAAAAGTGACTTGGGGTTGGGTCATTCAAAGTGACCTGACCTTAAAAGTTAGGAGGTTCAAACTTGCACACCATGTGTAAAATTGATGAGAGAATAGTCGTGCCAAATTTCGCGCCGCGGTTTTCCCGCTATCCGCGAAAAACCTCAGGGGGGGGGGGCGGATATCCGCCCTTCCGTCGGTGCGCGGGTTAAAGTTACCGTTGTGCACACAGATCTTCGGTCTCTCACATTTTTACGAATTACGATCGGCCTAGATAAGCACTAAGCAGTGCACAGCAACGATCAAATCATCGCGGCATTTTCTGATCCCATTAATCGATGACCAAAATGTGACTTGTGACCGATCTGTCCAACATGTAACTCATGTCGAGTGTTGACCTATTTGACTAATATGTGACCACGAATGACTGACATTTGGTCATTGCTGTGACTATTGGCTAAACATCTTTCATCCCTGTTGAGCAATATAAATCCATCCCTGACCGATCTGTGACCTCTTCTAACCCATATTCTCTCTCCCACCTCCCGACTCACAGAGCATCACGGATCAGTCTGTGACGGCCATCGCCGAGAACTGCCCTCTGCTGCACTACATCTGTCTCTCCAACTGTCCGGCGCTGCGGGACGTGTCGCTGCTGCGACTGGCCGCCCACTGTCCTCGCCTGGTGACTGTGGAGGTAGCCGGCTGCGCGAACTTCACCGACCACGGATTCCAGGCACTCGCCAGGGTGAGAGGACGAACGGATGGGATGGGAGGGAGGGGTGTGGTTTGGTGTGGGTTTAGTGTGAGCACTGAGCGAGCATGGTGTTCAGAATGGTGTTCAGTCGGGTGGGCTCAGTAAACTACGGGCAATATGATAATCAAGGACACAACAGTATTGCAATGTTCAGCTTTAGTTAAAGGAAACGGCAACTTTTGTACCGGTACGTAACCAAAACCATGGTGCATTTATGTAACGCTTGATAAATCATTAGCGTTGTTGTCCACTTTTTGGTGCATTTATCAGCTATCTAGCATACATTACCCAAACGTTACCCACACATTTGTCAGATGACGAGTTCTAGCCAACATCCCCGACACATCCCTCAGACACGTCCTGTCCCCGGAGCCTGCGTCCCGCCCCGGCAGCCACTCTCAGACCAGCTGTAGACGAGCCCGGTCTCCGCTTTGTCGGTCGACTCGGGCAACTTTTTGTCCGCGCCGATCCATATATGTGACGCTACAGCTGATGGCTCCTGCTGTGTGCCGTTTTTCCCACCTCCGCTGGCACGTACACGGCCTGTGAGGACTCTATTACCGCTGTGTGACGCCCGCCCGGCCACGGGAAATGAAGGACGATTGAGCTGAGGGGGGGGGGGGACAGGTCAACTGATTGAATGAGGATGATACAGTGCGATGGTGTTTGATCGTGTTGTAACTTTGTCTGAGAGCTACATTCAACACCGATGCTTACATCTTTGTTGTTGGAAATTTAAGGTTTTAGAACAGACCCGTATTTTAAATCTTACATTTTTTTTAGAATAATGCATGCTTTTGTTTAATCTTGTCAGCCTGTCAGGAAGCGACATTCCTTTTCCTGGGTTCAGCCTCTTGTCACTGTCTATCCCGTATACATTTCCCTAGTTATGTTCGCGCTGTGGAAATTTTGGTAGTCATTTCTTCCTGTTTTGTTCCCAGAACTGTCACTATATGGAGAAACGGACCCGAATGACCGCGGAGTGTAATCGCCACGCCGATTGTGGATTGCTCTTGATCGTCAATACATACATACATACATACATACATTTTTCCCCGTTTTGTCCCCAGAACTGTCACTATCTAGAGAAGATGGATTTAGAGGACTGTGTCGCCATCTCTGACAGCACACTGGCGGCGCTGGCTCAAAACTGTCCCCGCCTGGAGACTTTGGTGAGACTCGGTGACCCTAAGTGGAGACTGGTAGAAATGATGTGAGTGTTCTTATGTGGAGAGCTTGGTGAGAGAAGTCCTGGTTCGGTTAACTTGTATTTACTACCTGGAGATGGGCAGGCGTTTTAGACCGTGGTGGGAGTGGTCATTGTGTGATCCACTGTGATACATTTGACAACTCCGATAGTGACGTCGTGACACGTAACGCGTGACGTAACCTTTAACGGGATTCGGAGATCTTTAGGGGATCCATTATGTAAGGGCAACCTTTTTAAAGGACAGGGGAGGAGGGAGCGCCCCCAAATGACTGCATGCTCGATGTTTTTTTTTTTGTGTATGTACCTTGCGCCTCATTAGTCCTGTTAAGGCCGAGTGTCAGTGTGCGTACTGCTTCGGTGCAATGTGGCTACATGTCTGACCCATTTGACCTCTGACCCTCACCGGTCAGACTGCCCCTCCCCCATATGACCTGACACCTCAGACCGTGACCTGTTGTTGTCTCTGACCGTTCAGACCCTGTCTCACTGCGAGCTGATCACGGACGAGGGTATTCGGATGCTGGGCACGGGCCCATGCTCCACCGAGCACCTGGCTGTGCTGGAGCTGGATAACTGTCCGCTCATCACCGACCAGAGTCTGGAGCACCTGCAGGCGTGCCACAACCTGCAGCGCATCGGCCTCTACGACTGCCAGCTCATCACTCGCAACGGCATCAAACGGCTGCGGGTCAGTGGACGGCGGGGGAGGGCTTGGGAGAGACGCAAGAATCGGGTGGGTGGAGCGGTTGAGGCAGGGTTGGATTAGGCAGGGAATGACTGCTTTGAAGTTGGAGGAATGAAAAAAAATGGATGATGATGAATTTTAAGATTGGATAATGTTTGAAAGGTCCGAGATATTCGGGAGTACTTGAGGCCTAGATCTTGGAACAGAAAACATCGAGTAACGCAGTAGTATGGAAGTTCAGTCTCTTGGTCTATGGGATTGAATGTATAGGAACAAACTCTGAGCATCCCTGTAGTGCTTTGGCTGTTCATCTCACAAGTACAGCCATTTCTGAAGCCCTTTTGACACGTCCGCTCCTCTGTGTTTGCACCAGCGTGTGCATTTTTTACTTTTTCTAGCGTCTGACGCCCCCTCCTCTCTCTCTCTCCGTTCCAGAGTCACCTGCCCAACATCAACGTGCACGCGTACTTTGCGCCGCAGACGCCGCCACCGTCGCAGGGCGGCTCCCGCCAGCGCTACTGTCGGTGCTGCATCATCTTATGAAACTGGTTCTCTCCGTACTGGGCGTGGCCGGCGGGCGGCGAGCGGTTCCGGGCGGTGCGCTGGGGCGGCTTCCTGCAGCCCGCCTACCAGCTGCTGCTGCCCGGGCCGCTGGAGGCCGTTCTGCGCGCCGCCGGACTGCGCGTTACATTCGGCGCCGACCGGCACGGCCGCTTCCTGCGCGTCACGCGCCGCCAGCGCCGCCGCCGCGCCGCCGTCGCCGACCACTTCCACGCCTACTACGTGTGGCTGTGTAAGGTGGGCGGCCGGCCGGGCCTGAATCAGTACCTGATTCTGCCCATCAGCTATCAGGTGACGTACGGCCACCGCGCGCGCCAGGCGTGTGCTGTATGCCTGGTGCCGCCCGGCTAGAGCGCAGCCCGCCCGCCGCCGCCGCTGCCCAGCAATCAGACTGGCCAGTGCGGTCTGCCGCCTACTAATCCTGGTGTGCAGACTCACAGATCCATACAGCGGCCACCGGCCATGTCCTGCCCGAAACCGGCCGTCTGTTATTCGAAAGAACTCGCGGCGCCAGCTTGGTGCTTAGAAAATCGGCGGGACGGCGGCTGGGGATCACCAGTGGCGAAGAGGGCATCGGCAGCAGCGGCCAGGAGCCGGCGCATCCATCTGAGCCGGCCTCTGCACAGTACGGAGAGAGAGAGAGCAGCAGCACGGAGGGAGGAGAGAGGGAGAGAGCGGCGGGAGACCGCGCCGCCCTCGGAGTGTACATAGTGACGGCAGGCGCCGCGGGGGCCGAGCGTGTTCCGCTCCTGGTTGTGCGCGGTGCGTGTTTTGTACGTGGCCGCCAGCCGAGAGGCTGTGTTAGGAGAGCGATGTAGGCTCTGCGCCGCCATCGCGGCGGCTCAGTTAACGGCTTGTCTGTTACGCTTTATGTAGCGTGTTTAGTGGTGCTTTCACTGCATTTGTTTGCTTTTACAGCAACTTCCTTTTTCTGGAACGGGGTATTATGTGCTATATACGCTCGGGGCGGGAGGCTGAATGTTGTGAAACGTTCCTGTGTCAAATGATCTTTACTTGACGTATAACCTGTGACGATTGTAGCGGCGCCGCGCGGCGCCCGGCTCTGTGTACGGTGTCGGCCTGCGCGGCCTCTAGAGGATATGTCGGATGGGAGCGTATCGTGTGAGCTTTGTGCCGGCCGCTAGGACCAAGAGGGCGCCACTGGGGCGGCCGGCGCGCCGCGCACCCCGCCGCCGCCAGCAGCAGCTATAGGTCGTGGGCAGCTCGCTCCGGCGCCACCTCACTCTCCTCTCCAGTTACATAAGTGTACTTAACGCGGCGCGGCCGAGGGAGGCCCACAGTACTGGCCCGTCGACCCGGCCGGCCGGCCGCGCCCCTCCCGCCGCACACTGCTGCACGGCCGGCCCGCCCACCCATCAGACATCATTCATAGTCCAGTCTTTCTTACCGACAGAGACCGAACCCCGTGTCGCGTCCGGGCCGCCGGTCCGCCCGCCGCGCGCGCGAGCGGCCGGCGGCGTCCTCTGCACGCCGCGTCCAATCAGCGCCGACTCGTGAGAGAGAGACCCTTGGGGCGACGCTGTACTCGCCGAGACCATGTGTGTGCCGTGTGCATGTACGTAGGCACTTTCATTGTGATATGCATATACGAAGATGCGGCGGGTGGCCGTCCGTCTCAGCTCCCGTAGACTGGTGGTACGCGCTTTTGACTAGGATCATTTATGATTTTGAAATGAATATTCGCAATAACACCGGTGTGTGGTTGTGGAGCCGTGGAAGCTGTTGTAGGATAGAGGATTTATCGATGACGGTTGAGGGTTCTGTCTTTTTGGACCTCCATTGCCTCTAGGGTACGGGCGGAGACCCGTCGACTTTTGTAAAGGACAGCTTGTCAATCTTCCAGGTGACCTGAGGCTCGATAACCAGTGATCACAGTGTAGTCCGTTATCACGACTGGTAACGGACTGCACTGTGCATAGCGCACAGCGCAGCGTTGTGCACTGCCGGATGTAGGTGTCTCATTTTGCAACTCCTGGAAGTCCAAGCCCTGAAAGATACACTTGGAGGATCCGCCGACTAGCAGTGCTGAACGCTATACGACGTCCATGTATTGTGTTCTTTTCTCCATTTACTGACCCCCAAAGTTCTAACAGTTACGAGTCATGATCCAAAGCCAAATGGCGACCCTCTCAGGAGCGAGACTGTCTGAAGATTCCCTTTCCTCAACGGGCTGTCACATTTCCCAAGCGGGTCGATTTCCGTGGAGCTCATTGACCTCCGAAAAGCATTAGCGTATTCCATTCATTACCGTCTCTCTGTGACACACTTTTGGGGAGACGGGCGCACACGCACTACGCAACTTTCTCCACGCAGCTAATCGGAGAATCGTATTGTCGCATGTGCGGCATGCCTACTCGCCAAGTCGCCACTCGATGATGATGGCGCGGCGTAAAGGAAGATTTTTTTTTCTTCTCGGAAAACGCAAGACGTTCGCCAAAAATGAGAGCTCGTCATCTGCCTGAGACGATCACGGCTACGGAACATACCGCGGGACCCGTACCAGATGCTCCCATTTCTCACCCCTGTACCGTGGTGCGATCTATCTCGGTGTGTCGGGAACCGCTTTCGTTACGTACGCACTACGCACTTACTTCGGCCAGTCCCATCGAATTGTCCTCTATCCGAAATCTAAACGTTATTATGGCCTATGGGTTCTGAACTGGTATACAAGTGGTGTTGGTCGTGTCGTGAGGGCCGTGCATCATATGTATATTCGTTCCTGCATACCCGGCCGCCACGCTGCCTTGGGCTCCAGATCCGCGCGTCGGACGGGTCCGTTCACCTCATGAACTGGCCGCTCTACCAGCTACGGCGCAATAGCGGCACCCCTCCCCATCCCCACTCACGGAAAGCGAACCACAGCTGAGCACCCCAAGGCCGTCCTGGCGAGAATCAGCTGACTGTGAGCGCGACGGGAGGTCAGCTGTCGCGGGCTAGCGCGCGAGAACGGACGGCGCTGGTGCCCGTGTCTGTTGCTCCCAAATTGCCCTAATCCGCGGTTTGGTTTTGCTTTACATACGGTGTCGGCGCACCAGCTGCGAAGCCATATCGCTCTGCACAGCTCGGTCCGGCAGCCTCTTTGAAATCAGCGGTAAAATGGACGGTCACCGAGCCTCAGTCGTCCACGATCTACGAAGATTGTGTTGATTGTAGGTAGAATGACCGACTCGGTAGCACGCAAACGTGTGAATACGACCTACGAACCATACAGGAGCATATATGTCGTTCGTTGCACGGGCCTGAAGGGCATCGATCGGCGACCTGTCACGCTGCCTATTCCACCTCTCACGCGATTGCACCACGTTATGCAGAGTACCGGCGGCCGTCCGTCGGGGGCAGGCTTGCACCACGTTACCGATATCAACGGCCAAGACTGCCCTGCACCGCGGATCAATCGTAGAAACTAGAAATCGACGAGATAATGAGCGGAAAGTGCAACTGAGTGGACGGTATAACTGTTGAGCCAAGTGTAGGGAGACCGCTGGGAGTCAAAACCTTGTCCTTCCTGTTACGTAGCTTTCCAGACCGTGCGTAAGCCACGTGAATATTCGTGTCTGAGTGATCCCCCATAGGTCCGTTGCTATGGAAATTGCCAATGGATCCCGTAACAAAATGACCGCGCGACCCCCATTTACGTAGCACCCTGTGAAAGACATTCCGGATACTTTCGTCAAATCCACACGCCTGGTTGGATCTCCTAACCCGTATCTTGCAAATGATGATTTGATAGAAACTGGTCAACTTTCTCCTCGCAGCCCGGATCAGTGAAACGGCACCGTCTCTCGGTCCACGTGCCACGAAACAGTGCGTAAGAGCAGCTCGCGTGTCAGAAACGTGGGCTAGACAAAGGGTGCTGAAATATCGAATGACCACATGGCCATCGACGAAGATGACAAGGACGGGATCCGCGACACATCTGCAACCTTTATATTTATGTGGACTTGCGCACCAGCCACTACGTCTGTCGGATTGACCCGTGATCTATAATGACTATCTGCGAATGAATGAAACATTTTGTTCTTTCAAGAAGTCCCTGCAAAACAAAAGCTACAATGAGAGATAGCATAAAGCCGCAACATTGACGGTGCATGAAAGACTAAGCAGAACGGAAGCCAATCAGCGAAAAGCCGTATTTTGGTATGGTAGCAGTGATCTTTATTGCGCACCTGTAAAGCCCCTGACCAGCGTCAACGATAATGGGTAAAAGATGCACTGTCGAGTCGATATATCATCGCGGGCACCTCGCCGCGGTACTCCCTCCTCCCCATGTCCTTCCTCCTTCCGTTCGTCCCACTGATCCGTGAACATGTTGTCAGTAAAACGCACAGTATCGCGTTCACCACGCTTTATTAGTCAGCCAGTATCACCTTAGACGGGCTTCCGCCGGAACGAGCAGCCTGAAACAGACCGGAAAACACACGCGTCAGTCGGAGATCTGTAGAAGGCTGCAGTACGGTAAGAAAACAAGATCGTAAGGCTGGAACGTAGCTTTCAAGGGCGCAAAACGCTTTTCGATTTTCCTAATTGTAATGGAATAAATGCGTATTTTCGCTCCCACAAGCTGCGATTTGGGAGCGAAAAAAAGACAAGGATGGGATGAGCACTAGAAGATAGGTACAGACCAGTCAGGCACAAACTCATCAGAATTCAACAATGGACTGCAACAATGCGCTACTGACAATGCAAAACTGGTGGTGTTGGATCCATATGTTGGAAACATATGGATCGGATCGTGATTATACCGATTGGAGAAGTAAGATAAGCTTGAGATGCTTGAGCTGCGAGGTCATTTCGCTAAATCACGGGAAAAGGCGTGGTTGGTTCCAGCAGGAAGCTGTCGGCGGGCCAAACAAGCCTGTCGTATCAACATTCTCAGTTTAACATGTACGGGAATGACGCACAACTGCATTAGGAATTCACCGCAGCGATATGAATTGACTAGAGCTGTGACAGCTCATATGAGCTTCCCCGTGTAATAGTGAAATAAACGGCCTTGGACAGACTGCCACCAGCAGAAGAGAGTTTCAGAAGCTGGCCGATGCTGGTAGTCAGATATACATACAAGGGCTGACAGCCCACTGCCCAGCCCATTAGACGGATGAACGGACGGATAAATCGCCCGGACTGAAAGATTATGTGCCGGCATTGAGCAATCCCCTCTTCGACAGACTGATTAATATCTGATCAGGAAATTCCAACTTTAAAAGCAAAAGGTTAAGAATAATGGTCACAGCTTTTTATGTCTAATAAAATACATGGGGAAATAACCCTTTAAAAACACTGATAAAACAAACCATTCAGGAATTATTGACCATCAGCTGGTTAATATTGCATAACAACCTGAAGAAATTTACTGAAGTCTAGAGTGTATGCCAGAAGAAAGTGCAACATGTGCACTGTGCAGCCTTGAAGTGATGGTCAAGGTGTGGAGTAAAATGCCAGAAATGGGATAATACAGCCAGGTGCAACAAGCATAATCAAAGATGATTAAATAAAAGGCAAACTTTCAAAATGGTAGCTTTCTACATACCTTCAGTGAGCTTTGCACGTCCACCAGTGGGCTGGCACAGGACTGTCGAGCAGCCGACGCACAGCACCACGGTCTGGGCATGGCTAAACACAGTGGTGATCTTGTAGCATCCTGTCAAGCAAAAACAAAAGTCAGCAAATAATACGGCAAAACTATTCTAGCTTTAACAACCTTGTTTTTAGCCCAACAATCCATGTGATAGCATACCTAAACACCTGAAATGGCAGTAGCTGAAAGGCAAATGAATGATGATACAACAAAACAAATGATGAGAGCCATGTGGCCAGGATCACAGCTGGGAATCACTGGTAATATCAGGTATTATTGAGCCTCTGCCCTTTGATGAAAATTGTCTTTAGGGTGCAAAATGAATCAAGACAATGTCATTCATTGACAAACTTCCTTCAAACTTCCTTATTATTGTAAGAATGTTTTTGAATATACAAATGAGATATATTTTGTGGAGAAGTGAACATGTGACATGTAATGCCTTTCTTGAAAATGACAGCCTCATAAGCCATTGTCTTTGTATAAAAATTCAATTACCCCCACAAAAGCATCTTTAAAAATACCACCTTCTGAATTCAACAGAACTTGGAGCATAGGACTGATAAACAAAACAATCAAGAAAGTACAAGAAAGGCAATACATGATACAGGCCTTGTGATCATTTAAGGTTCAAAATCATATCAATTGACTGTGGAATAAGAGAAGCAATATTTCAATAAGTTACAGTTATGGCAGATATGGCATGAAACAACTATCATGCTTTATTCTCCTTATAAAATTTTAGAGATAAAGGGGAAAACAATCTTGCCTGATTCATCAAACACAATAGATTAAGTCAAATGTCTAAAAGGAATCCATTGACGATCATGAATTCACATATCCATGGTCACCTTTAACATCAAACTGCTGGCACTAGGTTAAGGGTACCCGAAAACAAAGTTAAGAAATTATCAGAAATACCAGACCTGGGCATTTGACATCCATGAAGTAAGAATTAGGATGCTGAACAAGCCTCTTCAGCTTGCACTTGCGCCTCTCCTCATCCGCAGAGGGGTGTAGCAAATCTTTCGCGAGCTGTAAGGAAGAGAAACACTCATAAAACATTAACTCACAAACAGCAATGGCAACAGTGCCATTATGAATTCAAGAAACACATCAAATGTGCTAAGACCAAAGGCAAAGCATGGACAACAAGAGATAGACTGGCATTTCTATAAGATAAGAAGCAAGATAACTAAGTGACAAATGACAGCCATTAAATTGTCCTTTATCATTTACAAACCCTTGACTAATAAGAAGGATCACAGCCATTTGAACAATTGTTTCCCAATCTGCGGCTTAAAAACATGAGAAAGCCTGACACGATTTAATTAACAGCAAACAGTGCCATGGCCCATCAACAAATAAGCTTCAATTGTGGCCTCGCCATACCTCAATCCAGCCAGAAAATGCTTAAGCTGCAGAAAATATACCATTTAAAAATATTCATTAAATGAGTTCCACAAAACCAAGACCTTTATTGAGCTCCGCCGATTCAAAAAGCGACGCAGCACAGCAAAACATCACAATTTGAGCAGGAATTAGGGCAGAAGCACACATGGACAGGCCTAGAAACACTAGCAAGAACCTTGCAGAATCCGATACTGTGATTTGTTTTTCAAACGGACACCCAATCGGCTCAAATTCATTGATTTTTCAATAGACTCACCGGCATGTTTACACCTGGCCACGGGCAGCGACCGGAAAAGAACTTCTCTGCGCAGCGCTGCCTGAAATGAAAAGTATTTGGCAGTAGGAAATTTGCGAACAAGGCTACTAAATAATGCTTCGTTGAATAACATGTTAAGACGTCTTTGGTATTTTTGGTAAAACGAAGCTATAGGCAAAAAAATGCGCTATTCCAAAGGAATTTCAAATAAATGACACCAAAAATTGCTTTCCTATCGAAAGATATGAAATGACTCTTTGACTCTTTCCAATGTTTCGTTTCGTGCATTCCACTGCTAGTAGGTATGACCGTGGTATGTATTTACTATTTGGGGACTTGCCAGTTGCCACTGCTGAAGTGTGCAAAGTGCAGAGATGCAGGCAACTGACAAGCACGTTAGACTTCAGCAGCCTGTTCAAGATCATGGGTCGGAATCCGATGTTTCATGTCAACCAGATTGACAGTCCATCAGAATGTCCATAAGGCCAACCCTATAGGTAATCGAACTATGCATGCCATGCCTATAGCGAAGGAAATCACTGCATATCCTGTAACATATGATAAAGCTATCCTTAGACCCTATGTATGATAATGAGACTATGATTCGATGACGACATACCTATGTCATCGAATCCTAGCATCCCTGCATGACTATCTGGACAATCGGCAGCCATGAACCAGGCTAGATCCCACAGGCACCTACCTTATTCACAAGAAGACGAAAGCGAGAGCGTGGGGTGAGGGGTGCCGCCGTTTTCAGCCACTTTGACCCGTCCCACGCACGCGCAAATCTGCTGACACAACGTGACGGCTCATCTCAGCTGTGCCACTCCACGTGGTGCAACCAGCTTGTGTTGACTGCGTCACCCGGGATACCGAATGCCACTAACATACGCATCGACGGCCAATAGACAAACGGGCTCGAACTGGACCCCCGGTGGCGGCAGTTACAAGCCCTGTGGCTGTATGCCATTTGAGACAATATAAGCGTGTTATCAGAATCATAGAGATCTTATATACATATAAGATCTCTATGAGATCTCTATGATCAGAATAGCAGTTGCCAACAATTTTTGGGTTATCGGAACTCTACTCTGTAGACGTCTATCACTTAATCAGTTTATAATACAACAGTTCAAGCTTACCCTGGAACTGGAATACGCTCCATACTATGACGGCCATCGGATACTAAACATAGAAAACAATCTGCCACCTTAGAATGCCGCACAATTGGATTGCGTTGAACCTAAAATCCAAGCAAAATGAAATTATGCAGTTGACTCCGTAGTCCGTGGATGGATTATTGTGTATTACCTACCACATTTTCAGCAGCAAGCAAAGAACATTAGCGCTAATTCGTAACTGTTCACTTCACGAGACAATTAGTTATATTCATTTCACTTGCTGCGTCCAGAAAGCAACAAAGGCCGAATAAGTAAACGACATTGTAATTCAGGCACGGCCGACGTCAGTCTACCGGAACAATTCTGCATCACAAGTTCAATATCTCTCCTGTCCAGAACTGCCGAGGCCCCATCGGGGGAGCTCGATGTCGAATGGAACGTAACACAGGCACACAGCACGGCGTCTCGGTGCGCCTTTCACTCGTTAGTTAGCCGAGTCCGGAGCACTGCCCGCGATCACTGTCGTCTGGCCATTTCAGCCGTTATTTCGCACACATTGAGGATCGTCCGTCCACTCCAGATTAACGCCAGTAGGTAACGCCACAGTAACACAGCTCCTCAGTCACACCAGTCAGCGGGCCGTATCATGGGTCATTTCACTCCCTGGCCGCCCCGCGCGCGTTCGCCTAGAGTCCACCGCGGCTAGTGAGCCTCGCCCTTTTTCCCGGCGACCCGCTTGAATTCCTGCATGTTCGTGGTGCCGATCAGACTGCCGATGATCGCGATGTGGTCGATCCTCGTGGTATCAGCACCCGTCTGGTTGTCACGGAAGAAGAGCTGGAGGTTCGTCACGTTCTGGAACTTGACATAGCGCAGCGGCACGATGCCGTCGGCCAGGTCGTCCTTAGTGAGCTCCAGCTCCTGTACGGGTGTCATCGACTCGGCCTTGTCAAAGTCCAGCGTGTTGGGCTGGTTGATGAAGATCTTCACGTTCTTGGGCCCGTTCTCTGCCGGCGCGCGCAGGCGCAGCGAGTGCACTTTGACCGCCTGTGAGAAGGCTAGCGAGAGGATGAGCTGCTCGTCGCAGTCTGACTCGAGGTAGCCGGCGCCGGCCTTCAGCGCGCCTGCGAACGGCCGCTCGTCGGACTCGTTAAGACACTCGCAGCTACCCTGGTGGATGTACTGGGCCAGGTCGATGTGGCCAGCCACGCCGCAGTCCTCCGCCGCATCGTCGCCGTCGCCGCTGCCGTAGTGCTGCTTTATCTTGTCTTCGAGCATACGCTGGTCGGCGCCCTGGCGGAAAAAGGCGAGTTAAGAATAGGTGACGTTACCAACTTCCAATAACTGGGATCAAACACGGACTAACTGGCGTGTTAAGACGGACATCAAAACATCGGAACGACCCGGCTACATTTGACGGCATCTCTGCACATCACACAATTAACGTTATGTTTAGAACGCCGATTTTAGCCCAGCTCCAGACATTGTGTAGGATCTCAGTCGTACATAAAATCGGTAAGTCGCTAAAAGTGGGGCCCTTCGCGAAACTGTAAACGACTGCGAAATTCTGAGAGTTGGAACATACCAGACAAATAATGTTGAATTAAAATAACTGCAGTTTTTCTCATGCATCTAACAACCACAAATGTTGCGATAGTGCACTCATTCTCTCCCCATTTCCTGCTGAAGCACTAGGATCTTCCCACCGACCTGCATGCTGTCGATCTTGTTTTTGCTGCGGTAGAAGATAAACGTGGGCATGGCACGGACGCCCTGAGCCGCGGCCGTATCCGGACACTCGTCCACGTCGATCTTCAAAAATAACGCCTGATGACAGGGATAGAATATGTGTTATTTGATTTGAGTGATTCATTGATTTTTTTCTGTTCAAATAAATCGACATACCAGAAATGAACATCAGAATACTTACTTGTAAATGTTGGGTTAGGGCGCATAGCCTCGTTGGGCTCAAGCGTCCGTCGAAAGAAAAGTCACGCATACAAAACTAGCAAGTGAATAAAGTTACAGGTCGTTTCGTAAAATCAACCATACGTAACCGATATTACAAACTGAAAAGCCTAAAGGTAATTAAAGCAAACAAATACAGAACAATTTCACGTCACATGATCGAACAGCGCTGAAACAGCGGTTAAGAACAGGCAATCTGCTGCATCCCTCAAGGCTAGCTAGTGAGTCACGTTACTTCTGAGTCAGAGTGAAATATTGATTAAGAAATAATTATCCAAAACCGACACCAGTTGCATCTAACAAGTCACTACACCCCTCCGCGGCGTCACACCCACCTTGGGGTAGCGCTTGGCGTACTCGAGGAACACGGGTGCGATTCTCTGACAGGGGCCGCACCATGTGGCGGTGAAGTCGGCCACCACTAGCCGCTGGCCGGCGCTGGCCAGCTCCCCGGCCAGCAGGCCGTCCTCCGACAGCACCTTCAGGTTGTTGGTCATACTGCTGCTGCTAATGTTGCACGTGAACTCTGGAGAAAATGAAGAAAACTTCATGTCATCAGTCAGATCTCATTTTAAGCAATCATACCTTGGCACTCTCCCGTAAACATATTGACGGAGGTTACCTAGCCCACTATTTTCTTACAATAGAAAAACTTGACTTATACGCAAGCATTTTTTACTTTTTAGACCAGGTAACTTTTGCACTGAGACAGTGAGCCCTAAACCAAACCAAAAGAAACAGCCTGTTTCAATGGGTTTAGTTGCCTGCTCGCTAAAGACACCGAGCAGCCAGTTTAAGCACTTGTGCCCCGTACAGGGCAGGGACGAGTGACAAACAGACTGAGAAGAGGAACTGGCAAGCTAGGACGAATGACATATCTGTGGACCCTGCATCCGGGACCAGAGGGTTGGGATGGGTGTTTCGCCCTGCAGCTGGCAGGCAGGGACAAGAGACCAGCCAAATTGAGCCAATAGTCTTGGAATGAACAGCATGGTGCAGGCCTGAGCCCTCACAGTTTCAGCGCACTTACACTTCCTGATGCTACCGGGATTGGCGCTCAATTTCCACAGAAAATACCTGTAAGCAGGATTGTTGATTTTTGCTTATGTTACCATGGAGACCGAGCACCAATATCAGAAGCATCAGGTAGTATCTGACAAACAAATCTGGGACTTGCACAATGCACATTGCAGTTGAGGAAATACGGTCATCCGGGGATTCAACTACTTGATCCACAGCACAGTGGTGGTCCTCAAGGCCTGCCAATTCCAGTCTGCAAAGTATGGCAATCTCTATGCGATCTCGTCGGTGCGGGCTTGTTCGGTTGGTGCGGATTTGGTGCAGTGTGGTGCGGTGTGATGCGGAGTTGGCTTGGAGCAATGCGGATTTAGTGTAATACGGTGCGGATTTTACTTATTGCGGTGCAGATTTAGTGTAGCGCGGTGCGGATTTGGCTTGGTGACGGTCACGGACATGGCGGACCAGACGAAATAGATGAAGAAAAGTCGAAAAACATTGTTGACAGCCTGGAAAGTGGAAAAGATGCTTCGAGGATTGTTGAAGAAAAATTCAACTAACGCACAGTCTTCCACACGAGAAATTGTAATTTCAATTATTCAAAATCTCAATTAACTTAGATGAACTCACCCAAATCGTATAAAACTGTCACGCAGATCACCTACCTACACCACACACGCAACGACAACACCGGCGATGTCAAACAAACGATAGTCACAGACGCGTCGAGAACCGTCTATTCTGATGACAGTGCATACACTAATACAGCGGCAGTATATTAAAACAGTCATTTTCTTATGGCTGTATATATGCAATATCTCATACCTGTGTAAGATATCTATGGTTAGAATTCATTACAATATTTTAAGTATACAAATCCAGTCATAATTAATCGTTATACAGGCCTACCTTGTTGTTTCGGTCATTGTGCTGATTCATTTTCACTGCATAAATTTGCACAAGAGTCTCACAATGCATTGCTTTGGCATTGCTGGACCGCGCATCTGACCAGTAGGCGCTCAGACGCATTCTCAGGATTGGGGGTCCGAATAAAAATGTATCACTTGTTTTGTTTGTTGGCATTACGCGAGCGAGATCATTGGGGGGGGGAGGGGGTGAGAGGGTGCGCCCACCCCCCCCCGGTGGAGGAGCGCTTGTTAGCCGCTGCCATTCAATATAAAAGCCAGGGCATCAAATTTTAGGGTCACTTTATTTAGTTCACATTCCACGATAAAATCAACACATGATGCAACATATAATTTGTAACTCACTAACCGGTTCAATTCATTGCTGAGCAGCCAACCAGAAACCACGACCGCTAGTGTCGATGTTCGACCGCTGTGCCTTGACTGTGCCATCAGACCTCAAAAGAACTAACAAAACCGCATATTCACTACCGTGTATGTCAGAGCGTGCCCCGCCAGTTCCTCCACCACAGCCGGGCCGGGAGCCAGCCGTCGCGCTGCTGCAGGGCCGGGTGGAACAGGTTGAAGTCGGCCCGCTGCAGCCGCCGCAGGTAGCTGGCCACCGCCACTCCCGGCAGAAACGCCGAGCGCGCCTCTCGCGGCACCTTGGATAGGTTCTCCTTCACCTGGTGGGCAACAGACAGCAGTGTTTCATTAGCGCGGCCTTGACATGAAATACCTATTCTACGTGATTTTACTAGTGATTATGATTCCTGTTTACCTGTGATTCTACACCACCTCTGTGTTCCTACCAGTTGCTTCCCAAAGTTAAATATAAGCACATTCTTGCACACCCCTGTCTGCAGACAAGCCCCCAATCAGTTCACACCTCTCCCAGCGGCTCCACTCACGTGCTCCAGGTGCCTGTTGGCCGCGCTGGCCACCTCAAAGGCCACCTCTCGGATGGCCGGGTCGTCCATTCCACGCCAGAGTCGGTCGGATTTCACGGCGTGACGGGCCATCAGGTCGGAGGGCAGGTAGCAGATGCGGCGCGGTGCGAGACGAGCAGTGGAGCGCAGCAGCGAGCTGAGGCCCTGCGCGCGGCCCAGCCGGCTCACCAGCTGTAGGTGCTCCGAGTCCACAGACAGGCCCAGGTCTGCCGGGGAGGCCGCAGAGGGCGGTTAGGAATAATGAGTAAGGTTTGCGGTAAAGTTTCCGTGGTAGGTACTTCATCAGTTGGCACATCTAAATGCGGCAGATTTAGGCAGAATGTAGACACTGGTAATGAATGGAAGATGAAACACAATGAACAGTTCTATGTAGATTATGACGGAAACGTAAAAAACGTCGAAAGAATATTCATCAAACCCTGCAATACACATCTCGTCACGGATCGCCACAATCAGACTGAATTACGAAACAAGAGGAAGTCTACCAAGTACCAATCCTCTCTGAGCCAATATAGCGGGACGGGAGTGTCGAAAGCGTATATATTTGCGATTTAACAGCTGTAGCTCCTGAGAAACAATCTTGGGAATATTAACACCTGGTTGCCACACCCACTTACCGGATGGACTTTGGTATTCTTGACTGATATTTCCGACAGTAAATACAGTGAGGCGGTTGTGAAACCAATAATGCATTCACACATCGCTTCCATCGAATGCCTTATCTATCACAATCTCAACTTGCCGAACTATGTAAAGTTTGCGTGTGGTGTCGATAATTACTGCACACGTATTGTACATTCACTAGCCTAATACTTGTTCTCACGTGATTACTGGATCGCCCGGTAGTTAAACGGTCTCGTTTAGACATCGGAGAGCCAAATACACCACCGAAGCGTCAACGAGGCCATAAAAGATCAGTTCGCTCGCGCTTACCAGAGCATTATGTAGATACCGGAGCCCCAAGCAAGATTACTAAAGCCTCACCTTTACAATGACCCTTGAAATTTTACGGGATTACCAACTAACTAGACACCGGAAGACCAGACTTCACAGGAGTCTGACCTAGGCAATAAGGCGTTCAACTGGTTTACCAGAATCTTACCTAGACACTCTGGAGTACCAGACATTTCACCGGAGTCGCAGTGTTATCTAGACACTGAAGGATCAGGAAGTTACCCAGAGTCTCACCATAAATCCATTTCAGCGGAGTCTTGCCTAGACAGTTAATCCGAGTCTCCCATAGAGACCTGGATCGCTAGGCAGTTTATCAGACTCTCGCCTGGACACATGACGACCAGAAACAGTGCTTCCAGCGAGAACCGAAGGAGATAACGAACCAAAGCCGTGTCCAGTCGTGAGGGCACGTTCAACGTCGGACAAAATTCTGCCATACAACTGGCATTGCGCGATCGGGTGGTGGGGTCAGGGTCAGCACAACAAGCTATGGTTAGTGCGGGCTCTGATTCCTCAAATCCGCCCATTCAACTATTCGGACTAAATTCATAAAAAATATAACGGACAGAACCGAGCCATCGCCTAGACACCGGTGTACCAGCGATTTCACTTTTGTTGTTGTTCTTTATTGGGGCTTTAGGGCGCGCCGACTGCGAAGGTCATTTTGCGCCCACAGCGATTTCACCGCAGTCTTACCTACGCAGTTTTCAGTTTTTCGTAGCCTCACCTAGACACTGAAGGACGAGGTAGTTCACCGGCGACACCGTGTTTACGCTGTATTCCTCCATAGCGCGGATCGAGTCGAACGGCTGGCTGGAGAGCGACTGGTTCCGCGACTCGACCAGCCGCTTCAGCCAGCCCTTGGAGATGCGGTGGCGCTGGGTGGCCTGCGGGAAGTGTAGATAATCAAGAGTTAAGACGACGTAATTATGACGATTGGGCAGTAATTAGTGATAAAGCAACGTATGAGAGCTTCGACTACTTCTACTTTATCGTTGAGTTACTTGCAACGCGAGAACTGAATTGTAACTATACTGTCGCCACGGAGATTCCAAGATACAAAGGTCAAATTTGAAGCAAGCACTTCATCGATGAACTTTGTACAACTGTTCACCCAGTACCCACTTACGAATGGCCCACATGTCATCAATAAATAGCCTTATCATTGCAACAGAGGCGGGCATTTAGCCACCTATTGCTACCAGTAAAACGCCTTTTGGGCGAAGAACGAGCGAGCGAGATAGTGAGCCCTGCACGTGCGCAAGGGCGAGAGGGTACTTCCAACGGGCTTGTGCAAAGCACCCTTCTAACCGGTCGCTAGCGGTGTGCCAAATTTGAGCGCAATCGGCCCAGCCGTTCCTGAGATCTGGAAGCGGCATTCTGCACTTGCGCACGTGCAAAAGGGGTCCAAACTGACTTTTGCACGGCACCCTACTAACTGGTCCCCAACCGTGTACCAAATTTGAGCGCAATCGGCCCAGCCGTTCTCAAGATCTGGGAGCGCCCCCTGCACGTGCGCACGTGCAGTAGCACCCTAACCGCAACATATGGGAATGCATTGCCTGGTGGGCGCCTACCTGTATGCCAAGTTTCAGCGAAATCGTCCCAGTAATTACCGAATTATTAAAATGGGAACAAATTTGGCACCTCTTCTTTTTGCATTTTGCACGTGCAGTGGGGGTCACTCACATAGATCAAGAATATCCGACCTTTAGTAGAAGGGATGCAGCTACCCTACAAAAATTACCGCGAGACAATCGCCCAAGCGGCTGCTGAGATATGGACCTCTCAAAATCACTACTTTTGCAAAACAGCTTGAACACCCTCGACTTTTCACGTGGCACGTGCCACGACGGTCACCGAGATGTATCAAAAGTAGTCAATTACGGGGTAGAAGGAATGGGGCTATCCAGCAAAAAAGACCGCAGGCCAATCGGTCCAGCGGTTGCTGAGATATAAGCCTCTCAAAAGCGTTACAGGCCGGGCCGGGCCGGGCCTGAGATTTTTCAGTTATATTACTGAGACATACTGAGATTTTTCCGTTATATTGAAAAGACTAGCTTAGCTCGCTGCGCTCGCTCGCTCGTAATTAATGATACCCGATGGTGTCACAAGACAAGATCACAACTCGGATGCTTCGATCCCAGCTTACTTCAAGCTAAAAACTAGGCGACAAAATCGATCCGACCGACATTTTAGTGTGCCGTATTCGAAGCGCGTTTGACCTTTTCAAAACACTCCACTCTCACACACTTTTTGTTTTAAGTGTTCCGGCAGCTACAACTTACAAGCGGTTTCCCCAATTTGTGTGATGTGTCGCGCTGACATTTCAGTCAACCCAAACATGGTACGAAACAGCTGTGTCCAGTCAAACCTCTCGGTCTTACCGAGACGGTTCGGCGCTTTTCGACACTTTTCAAATATTTTGTTTCATAGCTGCTAAGTGAAAAAAACTTGACTCACGTCAGGCCTGAAATTTGTCATTATAAAAGTTGTTAGAAAAGTGCCTATACACATGTGACGGTTGTGACCTGTATTACAGTTAACTCAAATCACAGCCTTTTCTCTCTCGAGATATTCTAGATCTACTTCATAAGTGATATCGGCCCACCAAACGTCTTTTGGTGGGATCGTTCAAGTGAATTTGCCCGTTCGCTGACTAGCTTTGTGAGCTCTACCGTTCACTCTATAGTCTATACATATATGATTAGACGGATCGGGATAGTGACTTCCGCCCGGTACTAAATACATATATGTACAACTGTCGCGGGTACGGCTCCCTTCGATCCCGTAGGGCTTGGTGGTACATCGTTGGTGTCGTGCTGCTGCGCACTACTACTACTGCCAATAGCATTAGCAAACAAGGTCAAATATCCATAACTTGAACACCTCTGTAACAAGTCAGCAGTGAAAAACTCCAGATGAATGTTAACCGTTTGGCAATTGGTGCGCCACTGGTTACTTTCCCATTCAAATCTTCAAACCCCGTACTATTCGATTTACTCGTATCTAATCAAATTTTATCACTCAAGCACTCATTATCAGCCCCACACCGGTTCGGCTGAGGTTAGCGGGCGGACTGGGAGCCGACAGTACAACGACCCATAAACGGATTAACCCTCGCATGTGTGTGTGGGGTGGGGTGGTGGTGGGGGGTCGGATGGACCTCCCATGGTTTTTCCCGAATAATTCGCGCAAAACGCGACTGATCGCGACGAAACTTTCAGTACCCTCGAGTTGATCAATTTTACACCTTCTCTGAAAATTTCATGACCCTGATCCAAATGACCTTTGACCTGTGACCTATTTCTCGAGACCATGTTTGGCCGGAATCGCGATTCAGCGTATGTCAGCTCACATTATCCGCGCGTTTCCAGTCTTTTTGTGATTATAAACGTCCAACCATGTGAAATGATGTTCGTCCCACGTATTACGGTGGATGTCAAGGTCACATGAGAGTCAGGTCAGGTCATTGACCTTTGATGGCCTCGGGCTACTTTTTCGAGTGTTACATGTTCCTAGGGTAGTTTTTTCGGGCTGATTTCGAAGTTAGCATCCATTTGAACATTTACGAAGCAGTTTTAGTACCTTCGTAACATGTTACGACGCTGTTAATGTGTAGTTGACACCTACCATGGATACTGGCAGGACGCCTACTGGTTGACCTGACCTGGCCTAAATACATGAAGACATCACATGTGATCAAAACTTACATGAAATTCGTAATCAGAGCCCCGAAAACCCCCATTACAGCTTCCCTTTACGAAGTTCCAGCACGTCCCGATTTTCCCGACTTTTGGGTCATTGACCTGACCTGGAAGGTCAACCAAGGACCTAGGACCTTTAAATTGGGTATCATCGGCTTCCTCTCGTCACGGGAAACACGCTCGTTTTTTTCCGCGACGCTCTAGCTCAATCGCGGGCCGAACGGCAGGGGTCCAACCAACCCCCTCCCCCCACCCCTACACGTTAGACGCTGGCAAACACCGCACACATGCGAGGATTAATGATAAGTATCCAAGATCTCTTCATTGCCACACCACACAGAGATACAAGAACACTAGCACCAACTTGTGTTACGGTCGCCCATTGAGCGCACATACCTTGTAGAGTTCAGCCGCCACCGGCTGCTCAGGTGGAGCGCCGCTGAATGTCTTGTCAACAGCGTCTAACCAGAACTGGAGTCTCATCAAGCCGATCTGGGTCTCGGAGACAGTGTCCCTCACCCGGGCCAGCTGCGGTAGAGAAAACATGTGCCACAGTCAGTGCTGCAACAGGGGAGGCTACACCTGTAGCAAATACATGCTGGACATTTTCAATCAATATTAGTGAATATTGTGTGCATGTGTGATGTGCAGCTGCCACATGAAGTGAATACCATCTACATTTGGTTCTATATTACAATGCTCATTCTCATGGAAAAATGTATTTTACTGTTATGAATGATTAGCATGAGAATACTGAAGAAATATGTACACAAGAATATAAATAAATCACATTCTTCTGTGAAAACTAACAATGTGTTCCAGGTTTTACCAGCCATCATTGCTCACCTCGACATTGAATGCTCTAACAGCAATTGCCCCAGCACGAGCATGGCTCGGCAACAGCAGTGTGCACAGGAAGTTCTCATAGTCATATTTCCTGAAACAAACGAAATTATTAGTCATTTCATTGGATAATTAATAGCACTCTTTCAAACTGATATGGCGATGGTTATGTAAAATACCAGAAGAATAGTGTTGCACTGTTGCAGTAGCCAGTACAAGTAGATTTCCATTGCACATGTAAGTAGGGTGTAAATGGAAAATCAACTAAAAATATAGCCTCTCACCTTCCTTTTCCAACTTATTTTAATACAAACTACTGAGCTAATTTCAATTTTGCAAGTGATTCACGGTAACGCCCACTTTTGAAAACGGCCAATTTGGGCTCAGAATGCATTTTATCGCACTTATAACCTCACCTCACTAGCTCAAGGCAGTATGAAGACGAATTTCTCCCCTGTACTATTGCAAACGATGATCTTGATTGGTATTTCCGCTCAATTTCCGGTAATTTCAATAGTTGTCTTCTAGAGCGCAGCAATTGCCGTAAGACTCCCGTGGACATCATGGGGGCGGACATCTTGCTAAAAGCTGCGACGTGATTGGCTGGCTGGCCAAAAGGTCCCGGATTCATAAGCTGATTGCGCTTCAATTCGCATTCGCTCGTCCGCTGTCGTGTCGCTGTGGTTCATGTGGTTGTTGAGCATTGAATTTGCCTGTGGATTTTCAGTGGGTGACCCTTAGGGCGAAGGAGAATGCAGGTGTTTTTAAAAGTGTTTTGTGATGAATCGAGGTGACCAGCAACTGATCAACGAGTGTATTTGATTTACTGTGATACAACTACGATCTTTTATGATGGTGTGTGAGGAGGACGTGGTGAACTGGTTCCAAGGACTCAAAACACATCAAAGGATTCCTGTTCTTCGTCAACTCGTTCATATGTGCCATCCCCTGGAGCTTAGGTTTATAGCATCATGTGTGGAGGATGCGTGTAGGACAGACTGCTTGACCATGCGTAGTGCTGAGTTGAACGCCAACACTCAAAATGTGCTCAAGTCGCTCGCCAGTCCTCTGGATGTGGAGGCGAGAAGCAAGATCATCATCTATCTGTGTCTTCTGAACTCTACAAACAAATTGTGTTCAAGGATACTTAGCCAGAAGATATGTGATCATGAATCTGTGGCCCAGTTTTGTGATGATGTGCATAAGCAGTTGATGGATGGGGAGCGGCCTTCAAGTGAGGAGCAGAGGACACTGGATGAGCTCAGCCTCCTCTATCTACTTGCCTCACTGCATCCTTCCTTCGATTTTATTGAAAGACAACATTATAGGGACATGTGTAGTAGCTTGAATGTCTTAGAAAATAAACTCAAGAAGCTAGACAGAAAAGAGCAAAAACAAGAGGAATCTGTTGTACCAAAGGTAGGTCTAAAATATATGCATTATTGTCTACATATGTTCTAGCATGTTCAATTGGTCAGCATATCTACTAATTTGTGTTTCCCATGGAAATGATATCTACCTGGACTTTGGAAAAGACAAATGTACCCACTGCATTCCTCACACCAAGTTTGGTAAAAACAAAATTAATGAGAAGTCCTATTTTTTGCTACCAGTCATAATTAACTTAGTAAACAGATACCTTTGGAGTAAAATTAAATGCCTATTAAACATTGCATGTTTTTTTTTTTGCTTCAATGGGTGTTGTCTCCTAACTTTGCATTTGTTAGGAACTTAAAATTCACATAATACTAATCTTGCCTATCAGTTCCTACCTTTTATCATGCCTACATCTGTTGAACACAACTGTTCATTTATTTGTAATGGCTCAGGCTGCATGCATGCCATTTGTCTGTCTATACCTAGTGGTCACATCTGCTGTTAGCAATAAATAGGTATGCTACTTATGCTGGAAAGTTAGTCAAGGCTTGTGCACTGGTTTTTTACTGGGAAAGTTACAGGCTTGTCTTTCTATTAATTTTCATTTATGATACTTTGTTTTGCAGTTTGCAATTACATGTGAAGTGAATGAAAAAGTGATATTGAATGTATCTTGAGATGCTAGCTATGCTGAGACATGAGCAAGATAAACATTTCCTTGGGCATTCAGCTCCCACCCTTTTATTGGCCATTTATCTAAATGCTAAGAAGAGCACATGTCAGATGGATGGTCAATTTGCATGCTGTGTTTGTTGTCCACCATTCATACATTCATTCAATGAACGGTTGAACCATGATTCACTGTTTTGTGCCGTTTTCCTCTGTCCTGTCTTCCTCTGGTGCCATTGGTCAAGTGGGCTGATAGCGGCTTCGCGAGTCATGCTCGGGGGGTATTGGTGATTACATAACAAGGCCACTCGCCGGTGTGGTCGGGGCACGAAGAGCTGTAGCGGATCTGGGCGGCGCGTCATCAGCGACACGGTCCTCACAGTCGGACCGTAGGAATGCAATCACTGCTATATCCGTTTGTGTCACGGAGGGGGACGGTAAATCAAGCAATAGTCTTCTAAAATCATGCTCGCTGCATGATAAGATCTATATCTTTGTGGTCTGATCAGAGATAATAGCGGTAATAAGATCACGCCCATTATTTCATGCTGGTAATTTGTCGATTCCGATCGCGCCGTTTGGGTAACAAGCACTGTATGAGCGAATGAACTGTATTTGATTAATGATGGTGAGATGTCTCTTCACGTCCCACCGGCTGTCAGCACCGCGTCCTCAAACGCGTGCCGAGTGGCGGACCGCCACGTGACTCGTGAGAGAAGAGCTCACGCTGGAACCGGGCCAGCGGGACCCTCGGTCCCTCGGCGCGCCGACCGCCCGTGGCGAGCGGCCAGAGCTGCTGCCGTCGCCGGCGGCGGGGGCGGGTCCGCGCCGCCGGCGCAGGCAGGGCGGCCGCCTCTGCGGCGCGGCGCCCGGTGAGAAGCCGCCAGCTGTCTGCCGGACTCGGCGGGGAGCTGTGCACACCGGCCGCTCCTCCGGCCCTCCGCGCTGACAGCCGCCGAGCTGGGCCCCGGCCAGATAACGGCCGGCCCTGCCAGCCGGCGCCCCAGCGCTGTCAGGTGCGCTCCCTCCCGGCAGAGGAGGGTGCCGAGGCGACCGGTCGAGCGGCGCCCTCCCGCTGCGCTCTCCAGACGCCTGACCTTGGCGACTATCACGGTGAACGCACCGGAGTTGTATTGGGTTCGCCGCGGTCGTGACTCGGTGACCCAGTACCGCTGGGGTACTGGCAGGTGCAGACGGGCTCAGTCACCTCCGACCCGGAGCGCCGCCGAAAAACTGCCGCCGCGCAGTTCAAGTCGTCCACTTCTTGTGGCCGCCGCCGTTGCGCCATCAGGAGTGTTGTAACCGGCCAAGTCTTGGCGTTAATGGCCGGTGCCAACACTCACGTTGACCGTAACGTGAGGTTGTCATGATCGGGGCGGTCGTGATCTCGACATTTTCGATACGGTGTATGCTACGATGCTGAAGTTCTCGATTGGGGCTTATTGGTCTCTTGCCACAGATACCTACATGAGCCAAGTAAGTAGGTATTACAATGGATTACAATCCGAAGCTCAATACCAAATCTGCTCGTTATGCATATTTACTCGCTATTGTATCTGTCTGAGGCCGTTCCTCCACTTGTGCGCAGGGTTGTGCTTGACTCATGAGTCGAGTCAGAAATTTGACTCAACTCTGACTCAAATGAGTCAGATTTGAGTCGAGTCGGATAAAATGTTGAGCTGTTGAGTTGAGTCAGAGTTGAGTCGGACAAAAACATTAAGGCGTTGAGTTGAGTCAGAGTTGAGTCAGTAAAATAATTTTGACATCGAGTTGAGTCAAACAACGAGTCAGCTGACTCAACTTTCTAGAAACAAGCTTTTCATCCCCACACCCCGCTTAACAACTTTGCCCTGGGCTTGCTGCCGGATTTTTTTCACCCCCGCCCCGCTCAACAACTTTTTTATCTGAGTCAATTTTGAGTCAACTTACTTGACTCAACAAAAAATTTGAGTCAAGTTTGAGTCGACTCATATTTTCATTGAGCCGCTTGAGTCATGAGTCGAGTCAAGGGAAAAAATCAGCTCCTTGTTTGAGTCAGAGTTGAGTCAGGGCTTTCTGAAGTTGAATGATAGTCGAGTCGGCAAATTTTTTTGAGTCGAGCACAACCCTGCTTGTGCGCCGTTTATTTTCCCGGCCGGTAATCTTTCCGTAACATAACGGTTGTTGGAGCTGCGTAGCGCAGCGTTTGCGTTTCGATACGACGCAGTTGACGGGATTTGGCTAGACAGCAACAGGTTTTATTCCAGTCATTCCATTCTATTGGTTTCAGCTTGACGTCGGAAATGTTGCGTAGTTAAAGTTTTATCAAACTTTAGCATGACTGACAGTTTAACCTCGAATGACTAGCCAGTCGTTTCCACGTGAACTGGTGGGTCACAAAGCACGGATGCCGCCCGTACCCATCGACCTCTGGAGGCGGAAGGTGAATATACGGACGTCGCTGTGGCTATCCGTACTCGGCCGAAGCGTAGTAGTGTGGCACGGTGGCCGGGCGGCATTGTTGACGGTGTAGTGACGTCATGAATCATCGCCGCCCCGACTAACGGGACCGGGCATTGACGGCCCTGCGACCGACCGGTCCGTCTGTCAGCCGGGTTGCCGGGCGAAAGCGGAGCGACAACGTGCCGGTGCAAGCTCACGGTCGGAAAGGAACTTATGCTGTTTGCTGGCTGGCACCTGGGAGGAAGAAATCCTAATGGTTTTATTATTCCTGGGTCTATGATTACCTATCATGCCTAATCTGAGGCGTTTTTGTTCTTGCATGTGCTGCATATGTAAATCGAAGCAGGCTGGTACTCCAATACGCCTCCAGCTCATCCGTATGGCCAATTCCTGCCGTTGTCTTTTCGTGCTGTCATTCTACGTAACCGGTCACGAGTCTTGACCATTCCCCCGCTAATCTCGTCCGCGCACCCTCCGTGTGGCCGGCCCCACCCGTGCCCGCGGCCGAATTCTGTCGCGCTCCACTGGCCGGGTCAAGGTCACTGGTAGCCGCCTCCCGGCGCCCGACTACCGGAGTGCGTGGCTACTGCGCCGTCTCGTGCGTCCGGCCCGCGTGCGGCACCGCATGCCGTCGGTGCGGGCGCCGGAGCGTGGCGGCTGGCGCGCGCCGGCCCAGCTCCTCTGTCGGCCGCTGCGCGCTCCGGCCGGACTCGGCCCGGTAGGCGGGGTTGCATCATAGCGCTCGCGGCGATGGCCGGTGTCCGCGCGGCGCGGCGGGCTGGAGCAGAGGTGGCTCCGGCCGCGCCCAGCCACGCCTGCGCGCCGCCCGCCAGTGCCGAGCCCGCCACGCTGCTATATCTCTCACTGAGCTGGTGTGCTACTTCGTCTACCCCAGCTGTTTAACACGAACAGTTCCTCGCATTTTCTCAGATGTTTTTCCACCGTTTTACACAGATCGGTTCCTTTACCGCTCCAAACCGCTTCACACACCCCTCCCTCCGCCCCGCTCTCTGCGCCGCCACTCGCAGTCCGTCACGCGTGGGTCGCTCCATACCGCTCCGGGCCTCTGCGCTGAACGACCTGCCGCTGTGCGCCGCCGGTGCGCGGTGTTTGGACTGCGGTAACCGGACCGGCTCTGTGACGGCGCCATACGCACTGATACCGCCGCTCGCCAGCCTGCATGCATGCGTCAGTGGTGGTGGTTGCGGATTGCGGATCACTTACATGTATATAAGTGGTTTGGAAACGTGGGATTTTTCATATCAGCAAGATTATGTTGTGCAAGGAATATGCAAGGAACTATACCGATTGTTGAAGGTATGGAAAGCATTTTTTTCACGAACCGGGTACTTGTAAGTTGTAACCCTATCTGCCATCAATTATCTCGCTTTCGTATCATGTCAGTCCCGTGTTTCTACATGCAGTTCGACTGTTACGGGGGCTCACTCGTGTTCGACAATCCGGGTTTACACCGTGTGCTATTCTCTGCAGCCAGTTTGACATGAACTCTTCCCTTTGAGCTGCAATTCACATGTGCAGGTTCTCTTTTCCATGTCAGTGGAGTTTTTTGCCGGTCCTTGGTCTGACATGAGCTCGCGCCGCCGTCGCTTCCGATCAGTTTCCGGTGTTGTGTGTCATCAGTTCCGGTCGGCAGTTTCGGCACTCCCCCGCTCCCTTCCCGTCCCACCTTGCCTCGCCCAGTTCCGCGATCGTTCCATATCTGCCCCGGGGCAGCGTGGACCGGACGGCGGAGAGGGCGAGGCGTCCACGGGGCCTCCGCGCCACTGGCCTTGGCCGGACGGGCCCCGCATCCGGTGTGTGGGGATACGGTACCATTTGAACGCCGACGGAGGTATCTCCTCGTAATTATTGGAGGCACAGGGAGAATGCGGAAGTAGAAATATGGGTAAGTGCAAGAGGCTGTGTCCCTGAAACTAGAAATCTCCCTAGAAGGATAGCATTTTGATCCTTTTCTCGGGGTGTATGAATACTGGACACTGGACGTAGACAGTCTATGTTGTCTAAATCCAGCCACGTACTGAATCATTGCCACACGTCTCGGCCATGTGGTGGTCACGGCTAAACACGCGCCTCGACTCCCATGGGACGGCGGCCGTATGAATGAACCGTCTGGGTATGCGGCTGTGGCGACGGTGCTGTATAGTGTATACGTCGTGCGGTCCCAGTGATGAGGTACCGCTGCTCATCGTGGCAAGTAACTGATGGCGCCGTGTTGGCTCCGTCTGTCTTTCTGGGCTGGACATCGTAACGCTGAGTGGATAACCGATAGCGAGCCAAATTTCGGCGCTGTCCATGATCTGAAGACTCCCAGCTCTTCAATTTTGTCACCGGTGGGGCAGAGCGGTCACATGATTAGTGAGACCCCTGGGGCTGCTTTTCATCTCCGTCAGGACCGGTCACATGTTCCTGGTTAGCTCAGACGTGACGTGTTCTGTTTATTATTGAGGTGCCGGTGTGTGTCCGACGGAATGCGATGATTGCCAGTAGCGTGTGCAGGGTTTGGACTGTCCGAGAAGGTTTTTGACTGTCCGTGACCAACTGACGGCCTGGTCTAGACTGTCAAGACAGGGCTTGGACTGTCTTGATCCGGGTTTGGACTGTCTATGCAAGACAGAGTGTGAGCTGTCCGGACTGGCTTTACACTTTTTGGGCTGTTTTTTTTTTATAGCTCTCTGGACAGGGCTTGGTCAGTTTAACACTATCGTATCGGGTTTTTCATCGACTATCCGGACAAAGGTTCCGTGTTTTGTACTGCCTGCTCTCGGCGATGATCAGCCTCACCCTGCCGGTGCGACCCGTCACGGCCAGTGTTTGGTCTCTGTATGCCGGCGGACCGCTTCACTGACTCCTGTCAGGTGGACTTTGGGCGGGGTGTGGCGGGACGAGCTGCGGCTGGGTTTGGGACCGCGCTGGTCAGCCCTGAATCACCATGTGCTATGGACGGAATACATTTCTACATTTTCTTACTCTGTTCTGCTCCTAGCACTCGGCATGCTGTTGGATCGAACGAAAAATGGGATCAAATTACGGTAAACTGAAATAAAGTGTATTTAGTCAGAACCTTGTCTGCTTCGGTTTCTTGCTAGTCTTCTCTGGTGTTAGTTTCAAGTCGATGTTCATTGTTCATGTTCCACTTCCAGCTGCTCAGCCATGTTGCTTCAATATTCTGTCATTCTGTCTGCTCGATCGGTCCAGGATCTATAATATATTTGATGTCCGGTCAGCTCCCCCGTCTGCCATGCCATGCCTCCATGTCGAAACCCGTGCCACTTGCTCTTTGACTCATTCCGTTTTACCTTGACCAAACCAAGACATCAATCACATGGCCGTCATGCTTCATCACGCTCACGCTAGCATTTCAGTCTGGCTGCACCTACTCGTGGCGGACCAGCCTCATCCCGTTCCATCCCGCTGTTCGTACCGCTGGTTCCGGCAGTCATGGTGACTCCACCGAACGGGTGCCGGCCGAAGCCGTCCCTGGTCGCCCGCGGCAGCGGCCGGCTGTGTTGGTTGATCGGGATCATGACGCGGTCCGTCCGCGTGTAGCGGGGGCAGCGGCAGACGTCTGGCGTAGGCCAAATCTACCGGATACCGTCCAACGCAAACATGGCACAGCAAGTCGTCTGTGTATACCCGTTAAATCTGGCTGGGAGCTTTGGTCAGTTATTGATGCGATGCACGCACTTTGAGTGCTATCTGTAAACGTGACATCGTTCCTGGGCTCTGTACCTATAAGTGGTTGGAATCAATCTTCCTTTGACGAATAAGCTATCAAACATCAGCTAGATCCGATCAAGTCAGCTCAATGTTTGGCAGACTGTGTGGGTGTTGCCGAGCCGGTGCTCGCGCTGCCGGAATAGCCTCTCTGTTTATGTCTACATTGCAGTGATTAGGTGCGACATCTGCACGATTCAGAGGGCTGTCCCCAGAGGCCGGTATCCGGGTGAGCTCATATCAGCTGATTAACCAGGTGTGAGGTCTGTTGATCGAAGCATTGGGCACGGCGGTTGATGTGGGAATGTTAATGAGACCGCGAATGAACGGAACAAGAGAGTGGCTGTAAACACTTTGCTGATCAAGCTGTTGATCGAAGTATCCGTTATTTTTCAGTGGCTGGTCGGGTGAGTTTCCGCCTTTTTATTTAGCACCGGTTTTGATAAACATTTACAATGATCCATGAAACAACGAGTTGACTCATTCGACCACAACCGAATCCACTCCGAATCTATTGGGTGACTTTTTTTCATTTCAACGCAGGCATCCATAGCAAAGCTTTTGCAACACAAGATATTGGTGCGAGGCAATGTAATGTAATTGAATAGGGTCCAGGCTAGCTGATACTGTTGGTTATTGTTTTCGTTGATTGTCACTGACAGCGAGATCAGTCTACGTTGAGTCTTCATTGCATGTTTGTTAGCGGGACTTTCCCCGTCTGTTTTTGTTCTGTTTTGTTAGGAGCAAGCTGTTATAAGACCATTGCAGACTACGGAGCTATGGGATGAGAGGATATGGTGAAAAGATTGGACTAAGCGGACCAAGGACTGGTGCGCCGTGGTGGCAAAGATCGTCCCGGTATGAGGGGATCAGCCCGCCCTATACCACTCATTTCAACCCTGTAGATACTGCATCCCAGATGGGTCTCATCTTTCTCATCACTCCCCAGTCTCAGCTTTTGGGCGGCGACCGTTATGCAGGGCAATGTGGACAAGGATGGTGATGGTTTAGTCCTGAGGACATTGTGGACGGATGGAGACCACTTCTGTCATACGTGATCAAATATTTTTTAGTTACTTCAGTTGACCTGGCTCGCTAACAATTAGAACAGCTGGCTTTTGCACCTGAACCTGCTCCACACTCTAAGCTGTTTTTGGTGCCGGTTTGCAGCGGCGCACAACCGACTCGTGCCCTGCTGTGTGCTGTTTGCGTACGTTTGACCTGCTACCGGCGAGGTATAAAAACCGACCGACCTTTCAACCCTGTCCTACCGCACTGCGCACGGGCGGTGTTCGACTGAATAGAGCCGGTGTGGGGTATCAGTGCCCGACCCGGCGGCCGTGGTCCGCTCGTGCGTGTGCGCCGCACAGTGCCGGACTCTGCACCTCCGTCCAGGAATGTTTTAAACCGCTCCGATGGTCGGGATAATGGTCCCTTGACCGACCACCACGCTGCATGGATTAGGTTATATAACTGCGTCAGAGAGCAACCGTGCCGTTTCGAGCTACGATGACTGGAGGTTTGCGTAGCTGCGTTGTCTGGGTTGAAATACAACCTGTATGTGCGTGCTGGGCAGTGAGGTATATTTTCAAGGATTATGCTTCTTTCGCAACGCTTGATAAGCCATTATTTGCAAGGTCTTCGTAGTCCATTGTGAATAAGACCAACCAGCTGTACCTAATGACACATTTGGGAGGTATGGTATTTACTATTGGTCAGTGGAAGACGCTAGCCAACTGGACTATGGAATAACTTTTCCATGACTCACCCCCTTATCAATGACAAAGACTGATGAGGTTCGTTCACTGGGAACTCGTCGAGTTCCGTGTTTTGCAAACGACGTCTACTCAGGGGAGGGAGGAATGCTGAACACATTCCAGAGCCTTCGTACTGCATGCTTTCCTATCGCGTGCAGTAAACGTTTCTTGTCTACCTGTCTGTATCTGCCTGTCTTGTCTATGTCTGTGTGCCTGTATGTGTCTGTGTCTGTGTCTCTGTCTCTGCTGGTTTGGTCTGTATGTGTGCTTGCTGTCTGTCCGGTCTGTCTCTGTCTTTACGTATCATGTCTGACTGTGTGTATGTGTCTCTGTCTGTGTCTGTCTCTGTCTGTGTGTCTGTCTCCGTGTTTGATTTAATCTGGTCTAGGCTGTCCGTTTGTATCACTGTCTGTCTGTGGGTGACGGACCGCCTGACTCGGCTCGGTGACCGCCGGCGGTGCCTTGCCGTATTTTGAGCGCTGTTTGCTGTCTGCTTTCAGCCGTGCTGTGATGGAGGATCTCAAAGTGACAACACGTCCAAATCGTGCTCCTTGTGCTTCTCAACGTCTGCGTATGGTGAGTAGGGCAACGAAAAACGTTCTCATGACCTTACCTGATATTGAAATATAAATCACAGCTGATTTGTATTATCTTGCACAATGCACAGCTATCAGTGCCATAAATAGCGGTATAATGTCAAACTTGGTAAAAATCTGACAGCCCTGCAAAGTGCAAAGTGGCGACCTGAATAGGGCTGCATTCGGCCGGTTGCTGTGCTCGTGAAACCGATGCCGTGGCATTTATAGCACTCTAAGCCTCTCGCCTTTATCGCCTATATCTGGCATTGGGACCGAATCCGTTCCGCCCCGCTGTTTGATGCAAATCACCCATTACGCATGTCATATTAGTGCCGCCAAACGCGTTTGAAGGATTGCAGTCCGCTAATTGATCATGCTCATTGCATGCTTGGTTCTGGAGGAGCAAATTCTGACTTACGTGCGCGCTTCCACACTTATTCTCCATCCATTATCTACATCTCCGGACGTGACCATGATTTGATGATCCCGCCCACCCGTTATCAAACAGGTGTTTCGTTATCAAACAGGTGTTTCACGGACAAATTGTCGTTAGCGCCGCGGGCCGCCGAGTGACATTTGACGTGATCCGAGTGTGGTGAGTGGTGTCTGACACCAGCGCTGTCATGACGGTATCGCCGAGCGGCGTATGTGAGGCTGGTCAGGGCGGCTGACACCGGAACCCTCACGGCCGCACCAAATGAGCGGTGTTCGTCACAGGAATTTAACACCGGAGCTCCCGGTATGAGTGTTGCATTGTTGAGCTGCACTGCCACGGCGTATAATAAAGTCGGTTTAGATTTAATTTGAAATTTTTATTTAATGTGATGCACTAGCCTCAAAAGTTGGCTGAACAGTGGACACTGTAGAGTTGCTGATTTTGAATGTGTGGGGTTGGTTTCTTATGCCGTGTATGGAATATGTCCTCAAGGCTCAATGGGACAACCCTGTTGCTAAAATTGCGCTGTAATATTAGCTTCATGTGGGCGGACAAGCTTTTCTTTTGGACGCGGATTTATTGATGCATAAAGAGCTGTCAAATCCAGTCGGATAGAGCCGGATGGAGGATGGGCAGTCGGGAAATCCCCACTCTTTAGTCTCAGAGAGGTCTTTGGGTACGACCAGTCTGGTGGACAGAGGGCACACAATGAGTAGTTCCTTTCAGACGAGGAGCCGACCCGCCCGCCCGGATCTGACCTTGGCTCAGGTGTGGCTCCCGCGGCAGTGAAAGGGTGCGCCGGTGTGACTGGAAGGCGCAGCCCGGGGTTCCGTGTCGTGCTCATGGCGGATGCCGGGCCGGATGGAGTTTTGGTAGCATGGGGCCGCTTCCCTGTGTGAGGGCGTGGTTCAATAACGTGCCATTTGCCGAGTCATCTTCATTTTACGACCCCAGTCAAAGGTTCAAGTCAGTCATGCGACCCTTGGCGTTTAGAGATGCTCTTGAAATTGATGAGATAGTGATATAGTGTATCGGGGTGTCATTGTCGTGTGTTCGGGTGTTGTACCGATCCCCGCCCCACTTGAAATCCATCTCGGAGTCGAGCGGCCCGACCGGCCACCGACTGTCTCCGGGCCGGGAGGAACGCTCGGAGCGCGGCGCCCGTCCGCGTGGCACCCCTCAGCCGATGCCCGCCCCTCCGCGGGCCGTGATGTGCGCCCGCGGGTACGGCCGGCTCAGCTGAGCTGTCCGGTGAGCTGGCACCGCGCCAGCCCCTGATGGCCGCGGGCGCAGTGACCTCGCCATGACACGAGGCTCGGCCGGTGGCGGCGCACCGCGAGAGGCGGCCACCGCGGTCAGAACGAGGCGAAAACTGTGCAAGTCTTGCGTGGGGAATCGATGACTCGGGCGGTCTTTGTTTGAAATTCGAGATAGTATGCATTTATTGGAGTTATCAATGAGGTATGAATCGCTACGTTGTTTGTTGTTGTTTCTTTTTATTTTTCAGTGGAAACCATGTTCATTTAATCATTCTCTTTTTAAGAGGGAACATGATCTGACCTCCCTAATTGCTTCATTTATTTATAAAACTTTTGTATGTTCTAGGCTGCTAGATAGTTTTTTACCATTTTTTCTCATCTCATGCGGTGAATGTATAAAAATGGCTCGCCTACGTGATGCGCCCTTTTTCAGTCGAATCCTCGTCCAAAGCCTCCTCAATTTTATTTCTTTATAGTTTCAGTGCATGTTGATAAAGACACTCCGTATCATTATGTCTCATGGTCAAATATGCTGACCGATAATAACTCTCCTTAGAGTCCATTAAAATAGGAAAGCTAGCCTGACGGCTGGACTAGGTCACTAACCAAACCGCTCGGACTGCCACATGAGGCGGATCACGTGCAGCCAACCGTGCGAGCCTCTGTCGGCCGACAGCGTCGGTATATATGTCAGCGATATAAGCAAATGCCAGTGCCCGTGGGATGCGCCCGCCGAATTTCATTGAATCGGTGTCTGCTCTGAGCCTGTTGCCGACCGGAGTGTGGTGTTGCCTGGGACGCCCGCTGCCTGGGACGCCCGCCCACGCATACATTCGGCCTGAGCCATGTGGAGTGTGCCAGCGCACGTGACGCTGCTGAACTGTAAATTTTACGGTGATATGTGGTAGGCGACTTGTCTTGCGTTGTATTGCACCATTTACGGTCCATACAGGACGCAAGAGTCCCACCAGCGAGCTTTACTCTGCACGTCCAGAACAGATCAGTCCGACCCGTCATGAACCGTCCTCGACATTCGTTATTCCCCGTTGCTGAGAAGCATCACGGGACTTTCATCCGCGCCGAGCGGCCTTCCGGAGTCCAGCGCCGTTTCCGGGATTTCTGAGACGGCTGTCTGCTGTCTGTGTCTGCGGTCTGGTATGGAACGCAGCGGCGCGTGAACGGTGCAAAGGTCACGGGGTCACAGCCACCGGAACCCCCGTCCCCCGCCCCCGCCGCGGCTCGGAAACAATCGCTTCAGATAGCCGCTCCGCTGCGCCCAGTGCCAATATCGGCCGGTATTTTTGGAAACGGTGGACATGGGGATCGGAGGAGATGAACGGTTTTTACAAATATCTTGTGGTTTATTTTGTTACAGTGTGCAATTTTGGTGTAAGGTTCAGTCCAAACTGTGTACTTTTCACCATTATTCCTGTCGCTTTTTGCGTAATTTGCCTCTTATCGATGGTAATATAAGCACCGATGAGTACCGCAGTGCTGGCGACCTAAACCCCCAAATCGTCATCATTATCATCATTGATGGTATTGATATCGGTTATCAATTGTCAAATGCCTGTCCCGTAGCTCAGTTGGTAGAGCATCGGACTCCCGGTAGTGAGAGCCCGGGTTCGAGTCGCTCCGGCGCTCGATATATGAGACTCCTGACGGGGATGGTCTGCGGTTGGTGGGAGCAGCCGCAGCCAGTTGAAGTCATTGAGTGGGACAGGCCGTGTCCGGCTTTGAAGGGCACGTTAAACTTTGGCATCTAAATTCTCCCGTTACCCGGAATTGCGCGATCGGACGGTAGGGGTCGGGGTTAGAGGTGGCAAAATGTGGACCCGAGGACCCGGTCCAAAGAACCAGTCTGGACCCATATGGGTCCAGACCGGCTCCTGGAAATTTTATGACGGGTCCAACCGGGTCCTACCATAGACTATACATCTTGCACACTACACATTATTGCAAAATATGAAGTGAATATTTCTTTGCACACAGTAGCTCATGAGCATTCCCAGTGGCAAATAGGCTGTTTTACATGATGCAACTAATGATACCTACAAGTAGTTTATATTAATTGACTTTTGGGGAACGGGTCCAACTGGTTCCGGTTCCAACTAAGACCGGGTCCGACTGGTTCCAGAGATGTCCAGCCGGGTCTGGTTCGAGTCTGGTTCCCAAAATTTTCATCTTTTGCCACCTCTAGTCGGGGTCTACGCAACAAGCTCTGCTTAGCGTGGACTCGGGCTCTGTCAATCCGTCCATTCAAACATTCGAGCTAAATTTATTTAAAAAAAAAATGATAATCAGTTGATAGAGAAAGTCACGCGCTGAAGCTAAGCTGTGAAACGACGCTAATCATCGGTGCGGTTTTACAAATGATGAGCTCTTGTGGGATTTCTGTTCCTAGAGTATACTATGGGCTTATCAGGTCTGCAGAATCTGGTCATACAGTTGTAGCTGGTACCAGTCAACTATTTTCAGGTTTATTTAACTCCAGCTAGATCGGTTTATTTTTCGGGCTGTATGCTTGGTTAGCAGCACACATGCGTAGGGTTTTCATGCTGGACTTTCATGGAAGCATTGATTATTGTTCGTTTTTAAAGATGTTTTATTCATTAAACGATGTTTAGCTGGCAAGTTAATGCAGATCGGTGGAGTTTGGCAGGTTTGCTCGAATTGAGTGTTGTCAGTATTGTTCTCACCCAGCCTCTATGTGCGTCTCGCCCTACCTCCGACTGCCCTGCCACCTACCGCCCGTCCGGCGAACCTCCCAGCTCACCCTACTTCCCCTCTACTCCACAGAGCATATCTGCAAGCTGCGCCTGCTGCCGCGCAGCGGCCGGCATCAGGACGGGGTCGGCTCCGCCGAGTACCAGGTCAACGTGCAGTGGTCGACCGGCAAGTACTCCAACCTGGTGGTGCGCGACTCCCAGCTGAAGGAGCTGCACGACAGGGTGAGACGGGAGGGCGGCTGGAGGGTTTGAGGTCCAGTCTACGACAGGAGATGTGATACTTGTTAGTGAGAAGGTGTTAGATACAGTTATAGACGATGTAGCGTGGTTCTTGTAGACAGTGATGGGTCTATGTAAAAACAGCTATAGGGGCTCAAGGCGGAGAGCACACTGTTTTTCATGCAGACTTGTCCCGACTGTTCTCAGCACTGAAAAATGGCGCTCAGTGAAACCTATCTTGATCAGCTTTGGCCCCACTTTATCTTTTGTGTTTTATTGTGTTTTACCTAGGCGTCCCAACTACAAAACCTAGACTATAGTAATTGTACCCACCGCCATGTCGCGTTTGCAGCCCTTATATGTATGGGCGCAAAATGACCTCGCAGTCGGCGCGCCTCTAACCCCCAACAAACAGACAAACAAACAGCAGCCCTTACATGTTCAACCATACATGTGGATAGTGTGCTCAAATTAGAGAGGTAGATTTCTAGACGCCACAGACCCGTATTTCCGTCCGGCATGCAGTGGTTGGCCGGTGCTGACAGTTGTCTTGACCCCAGCTGGACAATTCGCAGCTGGAGAATCTGAAGCAGCCGCGCCTGCCGGCGTTCCCTCAAGATCGGTCGGAGACGGGCCAGCTCAACAGCTACCTGCAGCACCTGCAGGGCCTGTCGGCCGTGCCGTGGCCACGCTCAGAGGCCGTCTACAGGTTCTTCAGGCACCTGGCAGGTGCGTGATCGAGGGGTCGTGATAGGGTCGAGGCAAGGCATGCTCGTCGCTCGATGATTTTATTGTTTATACTTTTTATTGTACATCATCAAATCTTTCCACTGCTTTTCCACAATCTTCGATAGAACTTTAAGGTTATGCGCTTATATGCTTGATTAGGACGACTGGGTTTGATACTTGTTGGAAGGTCAGGTAAATATCATTGATGCTTTGAGGCGTAACATATATGATCCATGATTTATTAGCCAATAGTTGAGTGTTTTTTGTTCTTGTCTTTTTTAGCGGCATCAGTTTTCTGGAAGTGTGACTGTGCTTACTGATGTGTTGGACAATGGACATTGGACAGTGCTCTGACCTCTGTGTGTCTGTGTGTCTGTGCGCAGACGAGCAGGAGCAGCGCGGCCGGGGCGTGTCGCGGCCCCACTCTGTGTACACGCCGCGGCCCGCAGACGTGCCCGGCCCGCCCGGCCGGCACCCCATGACCAACGGTCTGTCGCCGGCCGCCGGCACCGCCGAGATCGCTCACAAACTGACGGTGAGAAATGCTAACTATACCGCCAAATTGACAAATATACAAATTGACGATAAGATAGTCTGCTAAGCTCACACCGAGATCGCTCACAAACTGACGATGCCTACCCACCGAGCTGATCACTCACAAACTGACGGTGAGATAAACCACCGAGAAGACACTCACCCACCGAACTCACTTACAAACTAACGGTAAGGTACCTACCCACCGAATTCACTCGTGAAATGACTGTGAGACACTGTCTCACCCAGCTTACCCACAACTGACCGTGAGGCATCAGTCCCTGTCCGCCAATATAAGTGCCGCCACCTACGACCGACAAAAACCGCAGAGCCGCAGCCCTTCACCAGCCCTTCACTTGATCTCGAGTGGTGCCGCCGTTACCTATACGCACATACCGCCACCGGCTTCGGGACATATCAGCCCTTTTGGGCAAAGACTGAAGGCATTTGTGGATATTGATCAAGCATGTCATTCAGCCGTCCCATACCAGACCGGCCAATGGTTAACGTTCTAAACTTGCTAGATACCCGCCATGTATCGGCCGTTGTATTTCGTTATAACAGCCCTGTTGATCTCACCCGTCATGTCTCACGATATGAATCACCCGTCATGTTTCACGTTTTATCTCACGCCTCGCCTGTCCCCTGCAGATGCCCCTCCAGAACGGCACCGCCGCGGCCCCCGAGACGGACGAATCGTCCGAGACCAGTCCAGCGGTACTGGACGAGGATGCCGAGGTGCGGTCGTGCACAATCTACAACAGTAACATCACCAACGGACGCGCAGGTGAGGAGAACCGCGGTGGTACGGCGCGGGAGGGTTGAGGGAGGCCGGCTGCAGTCGGTGGAGTTTGGTGTAGTAAAATATCGTATGTAACCAATGATACGTGCAGGGGATGGTGGATGTTTTCTTGGTAGGTTATCATGGACTAATCTTGTGACGCTGAATGGTGCTTTGATATTTAGCCGTAGTGAACGATCATTTGGACTGTTTGTGAAAGCAGCAGGCTTTCCAAAACTGACAAGCTGTTATTAAGTGCAATGCCGTCGGGCTGCAGCTGTTTTGCACTGGCATGCGTTATTTGTACGAATGCACTGGCATGCGTTATTTGTACGAAGGACATTGACCCATCCCCGCGTAGAATCGTATCATTCCGCCGTCTGACATCCCGTCTCGACTCTCCGTCAGGCTCTCGGTCGCCGTCCGGCTGGTCTCCGCACGCCGCCGCTCACTCGTCCGGTCCTGCCAGTCTGACCAACGGACTGGCTCGGCCGCGGCCGGCTCCGGACTCCGGGCGCGGCTCCGGTCGCCGCCGGCCGCAGCAGGCAGACAGTCGGGCTGGCTCGGTGGAGAAGGAGGAGGCGACCCGCACCCCGGCACCGCCCGGACCAGCTCCGGCGGCCGTGCCCGCCTCCTCGGCCGGGGGAGGGGTGCCGCCCAGTGCGCTACCGGCCACCGCCAGCCCGGCGGTCACCACCGGCACGCTGAGTCATAGCAGACCCGTCACCAAGGTATGTGTGACTGTGAAGTGTGAACGGATGTCTGGTGACTTGAAGCACAACAGAAACTTGTCTTTGAGACTAGTTTGGTATTGAAGGAAGACTGATATGTACTCATGAATTGCTTATGAATTTCAACGTCCACTTTTCGTGCCACTGGCAACATTGGCATAGACTGAAGCCGCCACCAGCTCCTCTACGAGGAGCTGGTGGAGATCTCGTATTTCTCTCCAGTCTGAGACCACAGTGCCTTCACTCTGACCCATCTCCCCGCAGTCGGTGCCGCCGCCTCGGGCGATCGTGACCAGCGCCGCCTCCCTGCCGCCGTACTCGACTGCGGGTGGCGTGCCGGCGCCTTTACCGCCCTTCTCCGCTGCTGGCGGCGTACCGGCGCCCCTACCGCCGTACTCGACGGCGGGCGGCGTGCCCGTGTCGCTACCCCCGCCGGTAGCGGTGCCCGGCGTGGTATCGTGCGCCGTGCCCGGAGCACCCACCATCCAGAATCGCATCATCAGCAGCCAGGTGGGTGACGGGGTTAAGGTAAGAAGTGGATGGCGGGAGGGCTAGTTGGTGATTGGTGACGAGGAAGATTGTAGGTGGGAGGATGTGTGAAGTGAAAGGTGTGGTACGGTGGTTGGGAGCTGCATATTCAAATGAATGAGTAAAGAGGGTTATATGACAGTGAGGCTGGAGGCATAATTCTAGGGTATAGTTAGTGACATGGGGTAATGGTTAACCATAAACGGAGCCGAATTAATCCCAATGTCCTGCTGGGGGATCTTAATCTGTCTTCAGACTCTGTCACTCCAACTCGGTTCTGACCGCCTGTTTCCCCGCTCCAGGGCGGCCTGATGCCGCTTCCGACCGCCGTGGCCGTGGCGGCCGCCGGCGGGCACGCCCACACGCTGCCCACCTTCTCGGCAGTGACGGCCCAGAACGCCACCGTCGGCACACCGCCCGCCCTCGTCGACGGTACGTAACCGTCACTGCACGCGCGTTACCGTATAGTGTACTGAATCACTGAACGTTGTGTAATGAGTTACACCCTGCATTTTTGTTTTTCTGAATCTTGATGACAATGTTCTTAGCCTATTTCTTTTAAGCTAACTACTATGGACGTCAAACCCCTTGAGACCCCACTTTTTTGCGATAATTTGTAAATGCGTCAACTCTCGTTGACAATATTCTGGCAATGTGTGTTTCAGAACCTGCCGAAACTTTTATTATTAAGGTATTTTGACGCCAAATGATTATGAAAGGTACTTCACATTCACTCGTAATGTTAAATTTCACGGAACGTATCTGCTGTTTGGGTAGAGGCTACGCGCTCATGGGGCGGAGCCACGTAATGACGTCAGCGCTTAGCTCCGCCCTACCCCTCCGGCGCTCCTTGCCCGGCGACCGGTCACTCGCGTCTCTCGCTCCATTCAGGCTTGATGGTGGGCGGTAGCTGGTAGCGGTAGCGGGCGCTGGTAGATGGCATTTAGAGCAGATGGCGCTGGTGGCGGGGCTCGAGTGTGGCCGAGCGCAAGCCTCCCCCCGGGCCTGAATTGACCTTAGCATTACGAGTGAATGAGAAGTACCTTCCATAATCGTTTGGCGTCAAAATACCTTAGTAATAAAAGTTTCGGCAGGTTCTGAAACATACATTGCCAGAATATTGTCAACGAAAGTTGACGCATTTAAAAATTATCGCAAAAAAGTGGGGCCTCAAGGGGTTTGACGTTCATAGTAGTTACCTTGATGAGCCCTTTCAGATCTTCAAGTGAGTATTCTTAGATGATATAATCGTCAAACGTTCATTACATTTTTACATGTTCATTACATTAGTTTCTACGGCTCAGTCCCGACTAGGTCCTGACATGCTATGACCGTTTCAAACTTGTGACAGTTCCGGCCCCGACCCGACCTGACCGGGCTGGTCTCTGTGCGCCGGCAGGGCTGCGCTGCGGGCCGGGGCCGGCGTCCGATGGTCAGCTGGTGTACCCGGCGCTCTCAACCAGCTCCCCTCCGCCGGCCGGCCCGGTGCCCGGCTTCCGTCCGCCGCCGGCGCGCCCGGTGGAGCTGCTGAGCGCGGCCAGCTCGCCGTCCCCACCGGCGCCGGCCGGCAGTCCGGCGGCGCCGCTGCCGCCGCCGCCGCCGCCACCGCCGCCCACACTCCCGCACACGCTGGCCAGCTTCCAGCAGCTGCCGACGTACTCGGCGCGGCCGCCGCCGGCGCTCAGTCTGGTCTACCCCGGCTTCATCCCGTCGGGCTTCCACCCGGGCGCCGCGGACATGACGTTCTACACGAGCCCGTACCCGCCGCACCCGGTGCAGTACGCGACGGTACCGCCGCCGCGCGCGGCGCCGCAGCCGCCGCCACCGCCGCCCCGCCCGCCGTCCTGCTACAACTGTGGAGCACAGGGCCACCCGGGCCGCCTCTGTCCCCTAGAGAACGCCATCAATGATGCTAGTCAGCAGAGTAAGTGCATGGCGAGCTAGTATGAGTGTGTGGGGGGGGAGGGGAAGGGGAGGTGAAGGGAGGAGGATTCCTGATTGACAAAAAGACGAGAACTGATTTCGATAACCCGACTGCATTTTTATCTTGACTTATTTAAAATTTACTTCTTAGAAGGTTGACAGAAGCTTCAATAATGTTAGGTGCTGACATGGCTTTTGTTTCCCATCAAGTCGTCTAGTACTTTGTACAGTCGATCTAAAGCTGCCGTTCTCTGTGATATCTTTTACCACTTCTACAATTTTCCCCGATAACACCATATTCGCATTCCTCTATCAGAATCGATTTGAATGTGTTCCTAACGATTGTCTATTCTTGTGTTTCAGACCAGTTCAAAATGTCCTTCGTTCCTTCCATATCGGATAACTGACTGCCGGCGTGCGGCGGCGGCCGGTGGCTCCCGGCGCTCGGCCGGCCCTGGCCGCGCCGGTCGGCCTCTAGTTGGTGTCTACCTGTCTCGTGCCTTTAGATTGCCTAAGTTTATTATCTGGCTTCGGCCGCGACCGCGGCCCGGCGCCCTCGCCGGCGGCGGCGGCGCGCCGTCAGGGGAACCGACCCCAGGCCGCCTCAGTGCAAAGCCATTGTGATTGTATGTGTGATCCATACATTATATCATGCGCGCGCGTGCCCCGAGCGGCGCTCGCTCGGTAGTGTTCAGTGGCGCCGGTGAGCCGGCGTATTTTGTAGTGTGTTCGTGTGTGTGGGTGCGGGCGCCCGTCGCTGACGCCACCGAGTCGACGCTCCGGGTGGGGGGCGGTCCGCCGCGCCGCGGCGCCAACTGTGCATTTACTGGCCCGGACCGGACCGGGCCGCTCGGCCCCAGCGGCGACCACTCAGCGCGGCCGGCGCGGACCGCGAGGCTGCCCAGCCGGCAGCGCGCCCTACTCCCGCTCCAAACTGCGGCCACAAGCTCTCTTCGCGCCGGGCCGGACCAGACCGCCGGGACCCGGAGGTCCCCGGATCGAGACTGGGTCGAACGCGCGGCGGCCGCGAGCGACTCGACCGGCCGACGGCGTGGTGTGTTTTCTAAGCCTGTTTTGTACACCAGCGAACAAGGTTTTAGCATTACGGTGACGCATTGATGAATCAAGTCGTCCTGCCTTCTGCGGCGCGAGCTTCGCACACTGGCCGCTAGGTGGGAGCACCGGAGCGGCAGCGCGCGACGCCGGTGGGACGCACTGTATGGTGTACTCGTGGTATTTAAGAACGGTCGGTGGGCAGGGGGTGGCACGCCGCGCTAGCCGAGATATACAAATGTGTGAGCGTGGCAGAGAACCGAGTAAATTGTTCGCATACAGGTTACTTACATCGCCATGTTATTGTAAACCATGTTCCCAATACTGTTTAGAAAAACCGGTTAATAAAAACGACAAAAAGATTCCAGATTTTCATGCGCGATGAAGTATATGGCTCAGTTTCAAGCGGACTGGCCTACCGTTTCAGTCGGATAGTCCGTAATGGGTGGAACATCTAGCCAGGGGAGGGTTCTTTTTAGACCCTCTCTCTCTCTCTCTCTCTCTCTCTCTCTCTCTCTCTCTCTCTCTCTCTCTCTCTCTCTCTCTCTCTCTCTCTCTCTCTCTCTCTCTCTCTCTCTCTCTCTCTCTCTCTCTCTCTCTCTCTCTCTCTCTCTCTCTCTCTCTCTCTCTCTCTCTCTCTCTCTCTCTCTCTCTCTCTCTCTCTCTCTCTCTCTCTCTCTCTCTCTCTCTCTCTCTCTCTCTCTCTCTCTCTCTCTCTCTCTCTCTCTCTCTCTCTCTCTCTCTCTCTCTCTCTCTCTCTCTCTCTCTCTCTCTCTCTCTCTCTCTCTCTCTCTCTCTCTCTCTCTCTCTCTCTCTCTCTCTCTCTCTCTCTCTCTCTCTCTCTCTCTCTCTCTCTCTCTCTCTCTCTCTCTCTCTCTCTCTCTCTCTCTCTCTCTCTCTCTCTCTCTCTCTCTCTCTCTCTCTCTCTCTCTCTCTCTCTCTCTCTCTCTCTCTCTCTCCCTGTGCATTGCTGCCCTGTGGGGAAAGTACGCATTGGATTGATTAGAAGCTTTCAGAACAGGTCACAACTCACAGGATGCAACCATGGAAGTAAAAAAATGCAAGCTTGAAACAAAAGGCAAACTGGTACAGATGGGCCTTAGGCACCGACATAGATTCGCATCAGATCACCTTACAAGTGGCCAGAAGCGACTTCTGAGGCGAGCATGACATAGGCGGCGGAACGATTTGAGACAAGGGGGGGCACCATGGCTCAAGGAGCCAAACCTAGGGTACCCCCAAATCCTGTTTTCTCATCGGATTTAGGCCACTTATTTTTCGTCACAGCCCTGACACGATGATTTTTTTTTTTTTTACTAAACGAAAATTGCAGTTCACCCCCGTATGCAGGGGTGTACCTAATTTTATATCTCTTTGTGGGGGCATATGCACCCACAATCCTGAATTATGCCCCCACAATGATGAAAAAGCACCCACAAGTCTTTTACAAGGCTGCAAGCGTCCTTTCGAGAGCACGGTGCCCTTCGCATGCTCTAACGGCGTCCTCCTAACCGTCTCGCGTTCATGTACCGGGGTTACATGAGCAAGTAAATGCGTATCAGGAACGGATTTTCCTATTCGCTCACCATTGTAGTCCGTTTGTAATGCGTATTAACTCTGCTCATGTAACCCCGAGCATGGATAGCGTTTTTAATCATCACTCGGCGCCCTTCTGGGAGAATGGCGCACTTTTGACAGCACCGCGCCATTCTCATGGTCTAACGGCGCCCTCCTGACCGTCTCGCGTCCTTAGGTCTCTGTTCACCGTGCATCCCTCGACTATTCGGCGCCCTTCTGGCCTCTCAGCGCCCCTGAACCACATATAGCGTTTTCAATCACTCGGCACCCTTTTACGAGAATGGCGCCCTTTTCATGATCTCAAGGCGCCCTCGTAACCATCTGGCGCCCCCACGTCCCCACCAACGTAGCACTACTGACTGTGCGGCGCCCTTCTGGCCTCTTAGCGCCCCTAGACCACATAGCGTTTTCAATCACTCGGCGCCCTCCTAAGAGAATGGCGCCCTTTTCATCGTCTCACGGCGCCCTCGTAAGTCGTAACCGTCTGGCGCCTCCACATTTGGTGCCCCTCCTACTGGATGGCGCCTCTCTACATATTTTTTACGTCCTTCCGGTCAGTTTCCACTTTTAAGCGTGTATTTGCTTAGTCAGACACGTCACTTGAAGCGCCATTCGGCTAGCAATGTTATCAAATTCGGTGTTAATTTAGGCTCCCACATAAAGAATATCTATCGCGCCCCAAAACGGCCTGGCGCCGGGCGCCCCTACAGCTGGGCACCCACAATCATTTTAGGAAAATTACACCCCTGCCCGTATGTGTGGTTAACTTTAAGCTGATCCTCAAGTACCTATGTGTTTGTCTCTTCCTTATTGTCGTTTGATAAATTCCATTTATCCTACATGTATAATTCCCAAGAAGCCATCGCAGTACTAATCAGTGGCGAATCCCAGGGTGGAGGTCACATGTGTCATGACTTAGGGCCTGGGGTCACCACATGCCTGCCAGGAGCACCACAGGCCTGACAGCCGACAGGGGCACCACAGGCCCGCCAGGGGTGCCAAAGGCCTAGCAGGGGCACCACGGGCCTGTCAGTGGCACCACAGGCCTGTCAGGAGCACCATCGGCCTAGCAAAAGCACTACAGGTCTTCCAGGGGCACCACAGACCTGCCAGGGGCACCAGAGGCCTGTCAGGGACACTATCGGCTTCGCAGGGGAACCACCGGCTTCTCAAGGGCACCATGGGCCTGTCAAGGGCACCACAAGCCTGTCGTTGGCAATTTAGGATTGTCAGAGGCACCACAAACCTGTCAAGGGCACCTACGTTCTAACAGGGGCACCACAAACCTGCCAAGGCCCAGGGACACCACATGCCTAGCAAGGACACCACAGGCCTGTCAGGGGCACCACGGGCCTGTCAGGGCCCATGGGCACCTAAGTCATGTCAGGGCCCACCGTAGGCTTGTCAGGGGGCAGGGTAGGTAGGTACCACAGTCTTTCCAGGGGCACCAGCGGCTTAGCAGGGGCACCAGTCATCACATGACTAACCAAAAATAAAGCAAAAAAAAAACTGAAAATAGGGCACCACCAAAATTAAGTGGGCGAAATCCGTTGAGGTTTTAATTTTGGGCATAGGTACTAGGTAGGGGCACCACTTCGATTCATGAACCTCCCCTTTCCCGAATTTCCCGAGTTTTCCCGAATCCGCCCCTGGTACTAATACATCAAATTTAAGGGGGGGCACCTTGCTATTGGTGCCCCCCTTGCAGAATCCAAGGGGGGGCACGGTGCCCCGGTGCCCCCCCCCCCGTTCCGCCGCCTATGGAGCATGAAGTTTCCTCAGGCAGCACGGGTTCGCTCAGATTCTATAGGGCTCTCGAGGACAGCTAACCGTAGTCAAATTCGACGGCTACAAAAGAACATATCACCTGGTTGCGTACAAAAGCCGTACTTCAGCTTCTAACTCCTCCTAGATCCGGCGTCTCCCAGAAGTGAAGTTCGTGGCACTCAACCAGGGCAGTATAAAATTTATTCTGGCATATTATCAGGCATATGGACACGGTGATTATGAGTAGCTTAAAACACGTTAATTTGCCATGTGACGCAGCGCACTCGACTAAGAAGAGCAGACGTCTGTCCATATACTGTCGGCGGCACAGGCACTCCCACTATCTCTCGCACACAATCGAGCCACGGTCCGACTCATCAGTCAGACATCACCAAGGGGAGCCACACCGCGCTCACATGAAGGCAAACCGACAAACACCTGCGCGCCTCACACGGCCACACCCAGAGCGGCCGGTGTGTACCGGCGGCGCGCCCGGCGCCTGGTGAGGTATTCGAACTGACTAGGCTCCCACCACGCACCGGTTCAGCTGACACACGAACCCGCCGGCCGGCCATCACAGACAGACCCACCGAGCTGCCAGCGCGGGGCGCCGCCGGGCGCGGACCCGTCTGCTCCCACCCGCACTCTCCCCGGCCCCGGCCCGCACTCTTCCCGGCCCCCGGCCCGCACTCTTCCCGGCCCCCGGCCCGCACTCTTCCCCCAGCAGTGGCGCAGGACCTCAGACGGACCGGCGTGCTAGCACAGAGCGCCCTGAGACGGCCCGCAGCGCCCTCCTGAAAGCCCGCTTGGCGCCCGCCTCCCTGCGACGTGGCAGCTACCCAGTGGACATAAGATCGCGCCATTGCCAGTCCGTCTCCATAAGGAGACCAGAGAACGCACTTTTCACATTAGTGGACTAACCACATAGTGGGAACGCAGTCCCAATTGTGACAGTAAAACTCGTCTCTTAGTGCCACTGAAGCGTTGTGAGCGTTACTAAGAGACAAATACGAGCGCAGTATTGACTTGCGCGGTGTCCTCAGGTGATACGTAAGCTACGTAAGGTAACACACCGCGTCGGCACACTCAAATCGGTGTCCCATGATACCTACCGTCCTAGTAAGTCACGTGACGTACAGTTGGTGACCACGTTCCCCACGTGATATCTGAAATGAGAGTCACTACCTACAACACGCGAGTTTCATAAGGTCAGCGATTCTCAAAAGCACACAATTTTCTGTACGAGCTCATAAACGCCCTTCAATCGCGCATCCTATCCCACCTCTTTTATCCGTGAGGGATCACCTACAGAAGTAGCTCGTACGATTTGCACTGCACACTTATACATTCTCGATAACCGCGCACAAATGACAAAAAGTCTACCCCACCCTCACTAAGCCGTGCCCAAGCCTCGGTCACCCCGAATTCGTGCGTCGTTGCTCATATTTCTCAATGTAGACACCGTCGTGTGTCGATCTTCCAGCCTCTTCCGCCGTAGTCGTATGTGTGATGCGTCCTGCGCCATTCTCGCTGCGTGTGCTGGCCAAGCTCCCAATAAGGCTGCCCTTCACAGACTTTCTCCACCGTTTCCCTTCCTGAAGCTCATCCCTTATTTCCTCCAATGGCCCAGCCAGCTACCATCACGTCCTATTCACACTACCCCACTTAATTATCCAAACGCCGCATACCAGCCCGTGTCACCGCAGACCGTCACTCCGTCACTTTATCGTCACGTCACCGGCCGGCGTCACCCAGCGTCACACCCAGTGCCGGGGCGTCGCGTCACGCGGCGGCCGGCCCGACCACAGCCGCTAGGAGGCCGTCCGAGACAGGTCCAGCAGCGGCTCATGCTCGCCGCCGCGGCTCGACGACGGTGCGTACCGGACCGAGGTGTCGCCGCCGAACTCCTCCATACCGTCCCTTCGGGGCGTGGCGCCGCCGTAGCCCGCCCCGCCGGGAGCGGTGCCCAGCCGACTCTGCTGCTGCTGGTGCTGAAGCTGGGGACGGGGAGGGAGCGTCAGCTGGAATGGTCAAGAGAGTCATGGGAAAATGACGAGGGAGCACATGATAAAATGAAAAAAGCTTTAAAATGATACGCAAGAGACTGGCAACATCCCGATAGGATGTGGGAATGCTGTTCTACATTTGGACATTTTGCACCAAAAGAGGAAATACATGACTCTAAAAAAAACAAGTTTTCAACGCGTTGCATTTTATCAATTCATTTAGAGTACGGTGCCAGTGCCACGCTGCCGTCTCCGCTGTGCCCCCAGCCCTCACCGTGCGCTGGTGGATCTCGTGCATGTAGACCGCGCTGATGGCCATCTCTGCCGCGTTAAACTCGGGCACCTGACTCCGGCCCAGTCCTGCAGCGGTCGGCCGGAGCAGAGAGGCCTGCAGGTCCGGCCGCTGGTACAGGCCCTCGTGTACGCTGCCGGGGTACGGGGCACAGTCAGCGGTTGATCATTGGTATGCAGTTATGCACGACGTACAAAATCCAGATTCCCCCATCATCTTTCCTCTCTTTCTCTCATCTAGTCAACACAAAACCCGGTCGTCACCCTCCTCTCTCGTCCTAGCCACTCACAAGTCACAAGAGTTGCCCGACAACCTCCCTCCCTCATTGCACTCAGCAGGCCAGCAGATGGCCCGGCCACCTCTCTTCCTCCCCCTTAAATGGTTACTAACCGGCAGAACTCCCTGTCTCGTCTCCGTCTACCTCCTCACTCCTCATCTAGCCAGGAGTGACACATGTCAGTCTTCCTTCCCTGTCTGCCGAGCAGTTATCCCTGTGGGTCTCCCCACCCCTCTCCTTTCTCACCTGGCCAGCAGCGAGCCCTGTCCGTTGAGTGAGCTGCCGCCGAGCGCCGTCGTGAGGGGCGGTCCGTACTGCTGACAGCCCACGCTGCCCAGCGCCTGCAGTGACGAGAAGAGGGCGTTCTCCTCTGCCAGTGGCGGCATGGCGCCCAGGCCGGCCTGACCCAGACAGGCAGCGTCACGCGCCCCCTGCGCCCTGTGGAAGGAGGGAGATTCCAAATTATCATACACGAGATAAACGTATCCGCAAGACGGTCTACAAGACACAATAGACACAGTACGTCCTGCATTTCTGTGAAGAGCGCGTTCACCACCAATACCCATTCCAGGCCGCACGCACCCGCTTCGGCTCTCTTCATCTAATACTAGCCATCCGCCATGGTCCGTTCATCCAATATCTACTACAGTCTACAACCCACCCCGACTTCAGTGTCTCACCTCAGGGTGGAGATGTAGATCTCTGAGCTCTCCGGCGGCCTCCAGCCCGGGTTGGTGATGGCGAAATGCACCAGCGACAGCTCCGTCTTGCCATGGTCGGCGCGCGTGGCCTCTTCGGCCGGCCCCTCCGCCACCGGACTGGGGCTGCGCTGTTCGCCGCCCGAGCCGGGCTCCACTGAGTCGGAGCCGGCCGGTCCGCCGCCGCCGCCCGCCGGACGCCACGCAGGGTGGCCGTGGCGGCGCACGTCCATTTGGGCGAACGAGCACACGTCACCCACCTGGGGAGGGAGGGAGGTCAAACAAATGACCACTGACGAAGCACGCACGTCTGACGAGACGACATAAGGAAAACAGTCCAACTGAGGATATCACAATGAAATAAAATAACAGTCCGACTGAGGATATCACAATGAAATAAAACAATCACAATCAGCTGCTGAGGTCCGACAGCTGACCGTAACGACAGTCTCATCTCACCCCGATGACATCGACGGTGAAGTTGCGGAAGAAGTCGACAATGTCCAGCGACTTCTGTCGCAGGTAGAAGCAGAGGATGAACGGCGTGACTATCGGCGACAGAAGCTCCTCCATCAGAAAATACTGCCGGCACAGACCCGACGACAAATCACCGTCATGCGTGGCAAAATACAACACACATCAAAACAAAACCAGTGGTAAACGGTGGTCATGAAAAAGTCGAAAATAGGACGGGCACGGCCGACGTGCATGTAGTTATATTTAAGGTCATAGATTCATGTTATCTATGTCACAGTTTATTCGGATCTAAATTGACATCAGTTGAAACCTGTTAGAGTTTAAGCCAAGGCAGCTTATCTAGGCTGACAATATCCATGATAAGAGATATCGCCTCTGCATGAGCTCCTGTGCACGCTCAGCCCAGCTGCTGCCACCGCCGTCCTGATCGATATTCGTGCCGGCACGGAGACACCGGACACTCCCTGAGCCACGCCAGCCGGTCCAAGCCGGCCGGCAAACCCGGCATGACTGGCCCCCATCGACCGACGCGCCAAATTTAATGGAATTGGATGCTATCAGTGAACTTCAAGCGAGCCAGACTCCCTGAGCGCAGTATCAGTATACGAAAAAAACAGCTTTAGTTGGATGGATCACAGCCGCGGCTTTCCTGGCAGATGACGCTAAGGAAAGGAAGAACACTGAACAAGTTTCAAGCCACTAAAATCGCAAAATATTTCAAGTTTTCCTAATTGCAAGATTAAATGCATTAGACAAATGCCTGTCACTCCCAGCAAGCGTAGCCGCAACTCATGGTGTCACATAAAGCCACGCTCACGGCTCATTAACTTCACGAGTAGCAGCTAACAGCACACATCCATCTGCCTTGATCAGACACCAACCACTCCAGCCCGGTCCCCCACGCCCACTCACAGCCTTCAGCTGGAACATCTGGCTAAACTCGTGCATGACTCGTCCCGTGTGTGCCTGGCCGCGCCAGTGGTCGGGCATGTAATGGACGTGGGCCAGCACCGCCGCCATCAGCTGCTCGGGCGCGAACACCAGGTTCTCGTCGGCTATGAACACCCTGTGGAGTGGTGAGAAGGGTCAGTGACGCAGAAGACAAGTTGGAACTGGTGAGTGAGGAAGCCAGTCAGCGTAGATAATTAGGTAGTAAGAATGATACAGAGGGATAGGCAAATATTTGGCGAACACAGCCAGGTAAATATGAGCATTAGCTGTGTTCACTGACACCATAGACGACGAAGATTCTGTGCCGCCCGGCCCCGAAATGCCGTTCGTAGCATAGAGGTAGAGATTTCTATGATATCTCTGATATGAGCGGGATTTCGAGACCAGACGGAAAATAAGATTCGATATTCTAGATGCCAGCGAACAGAGCTATTTAACATGAATGAAGGTGGCGAGACCATCTGTCCCAGTAAGGACAGAGTAACAGGTAGCGAGAGCTGCATCACGCCCGTCCACCAGGTGGGGCTCGGAAATGGAAGACCGACATAAAATGACGCCGTGCTTAGTGACTGTGGTAGAGCCAGCGAAATACAGGTCACGGTATGACGCGAACGCTCAAGTCGCGACTGTATTATAGACACTAACTCTAGTCATTTCTTATGGAGCAATGCTCCTTCCGTTAACCGCTTAACAACACACCAGTGCCAACGCTGGAGTGCTGCGGCAACGTAAAACACCCGTCTGAACAAAGTAAAACGACTGTTTGAACAAAGTAAAATGACTATTTGGACAAAGTCCCAGCCAGCATACCGCTCACACGAACCGTGCCGCAGCATGCACTAGCGTCTACTGCCCGACCATTTACAGAGTACTGGCACCCATAACAAAGTAGCCCGCGCTTCCTCACAACGGCAGCGTAGCGTCAGTCAGCCGCCAACCCGTCCGCCATTCAGCATTCACTTTCAGTCATCATGAGTCAATCAGCAAAATAAAACCGTTAGCGCGTCCGTCAGTCATCTTTCAGTCATCCAGTCATCCAATTATCGCATCTATCTGATAGAGCCGTCAATGCGCCCATCTGTCAGTCAACCGTCATTAACTCATCACGTCTATCCCACATCGCGTCATCCGTCAATGCATCAACCATCCGTCATCTGTCACCCAGTCGCGTCATCACGACCGTCATCCGCGTCATCACCCGCGTCATCACCTACCTGCAGACGGCCACCAGTCCTCCGAGCAGCGTCATCAGCGTCAGCACGTGCTCCACCGTGATGACGTCCTCGTCGTAGATGGTCAAACCGAGCAGCACCGCCAGCAGCGCGCCGGACACAAACATCACGTTCCTGGGGCACGGCGAGGGGTGGTGAGGCGGGAGGGTGGAGATGGGTATGTGGCGTTCAATGATGTCTGACAATGACGCCCGAGGTGGGAGTGGTAACATGATAATTTCAACGCAGATAAGCACTGTGTGCAATGAGGTACTCGGCAGAACGCAGCAGTGTACCTACCTAATGGCAAATGGAACACTTCAATCGCATGAATGCCTTCTAAATATATTCTGAAACACCTCTTCTAAGACGCAAGTACTTCCGTAGAGACGGGCGTTACCCTGCTGCACAATTCACCGCAATTGCATCGCCAGCTTAACTGTAGCAGCCAGACGATGCGCAGCCGGCCACCCACTCGGCCAGTCAGTCGGCCAGACAGCCCGGCTACGTCGGTCGGGAAAACAATATTCGACGGTGCACTGCCAGCCAATTGACAGGCTCATTCCATTAGACTCCCTAGTCCCAGGAGAGCAGCAGCTGTTCCGCGGCCGAGAAAGGCACCAGACCGAGACGCTTCCTTGAACGCTGCGGGCTTCCTACCTACCTATTTCGGACGGGCACTCTTCCTTGAACGCTGCCAAAGCTTCTTCCCTCCCTACCACCTATCTAGAGTGCAGCATCCACATGAGTATCAACTACACATGACTAAGCAGGTAGCAGCAGAATATGACTGCAGTAAGAATTCATGTGTCCTAATTGTGTGTCTCATATCTCATGTCTCTATACGATTTCTCCTACGTCCAACCGGCCCCTGAAATCCCGTCACTACTCACTGCGCAATGATCTCGGTGAAGGGCGTGGTGAACGAGTCCATGTACTTGTTGGACGCCTTGTATCCCATGTTCAGGCGCGCCTTCAGCTCGTGGTCCAGCTCGTTGAAGTGCCGCAGGAAGAACCGACCGTACAGCGACCAGCGGCGCATTCCCAGAGAGCCCGGCTCACGCTTGATCAACTGAAAACAGAAACACACGAAGGGAATGAGAATGATTTCACATGCCGTGACCAAGTGCCGGTGTATTGATCTATAAAACGACCAGAAAGTGAAGTGATACAAAACAAACGAAAGGCCGAGTGAAAGCAGAAAGAAAGAAAGCCTTGACTTCAAGCACTCATGCAAGCGAAATTCCCTCAAAGCAAAATTAGACACAGTACATCTAACAACAATGTCTTTGAAGTTCGCTCATTGCGGGAACATTGGGCGGTCTCCAGTCCAAAGCCAATCTAAATTCGCCAGGGACCGCGGTAAGTGCGACAAGTTTCTCGGATATGACATCACATCCCAGGCTGCAGTGCGGTTATTTCTGAGAAACTGTAGGGTTTGAGCTGGATGCCAGTGACTCAGGGGTCAGATAGCAGGGCGGCAAAGGTCACAATACGGGCCGCACGGGAGGATCAATAGTCATTGGGGCGCCACACGGTCGGTGGCCGGACCAGCGGCTGTGGCGCCGGCCGGTCGCAGCCCGTCTGCGAACGGCGTCACCTGCAGTACGCAGCCCCGGCCTGACATGCCAGGTCTGGACACGTTCAACACGCGGGAGCCACACAACAGAATTATGCTGATTATTTAGGGACATATTTGTGTTATGAGGTTATCGGTGGAGCCAACAAATAACCAAATGCACTTGCTTTTATTGACGTTTCGGTTTCAAACAACCTTCGTCAGAATAGTTACGTCAGAATAGTTACGTTAGTTACAAGTTACGTCTCATATTTCAAAAATGCCCATATTTCAAACACTATGTGCATTTTTGAAATATGAGACGTAACTTGTAATTCTATTCTGACGAAGGTTGTTTGAAACCGAAACGTCAATAAAAGCAAGTGCATTTAGTTATTTGTTGGCTCCACCGATAACCTCATAACACCAGAATTAACCGGTCAAGCCCCCTGGCAGCCCCGACGGTAGCCACCAAAGTTCATACAGGTTACGCGCGGTGAGGACCAGAAACCGAAACCTATTGACTCAGAAAAAAAAATACAGTAGCCTGCTTCAATGGATAGTACCCAGGTTGCTGCTAAGGAAACCTACGAGGATCTTTATAAGTCCAGTATCATCGATCGACGATGTTATCACGAGACGCCTTTCTCCACAAATGACACAAACGCCCTGTCAAATCGTCATCGCTCTATGTATGCAGTAACCAGTAACCACTCTCCTCGCACATTGTTGCGCATCTGCTCACGGCCCATCCCACACAGCGTCGTGGCGACACTCGTCCTCACCTCTGCATAGTTGTAGAAGCAGTAGAGCACCTGCCAGAGCAGGATGACGGGACAGAGCACCAGGTTGATTACACCAACCCAGAGCACGCGGCGCGCCAGCTCCTCAGACAGCTGGCGCCGCTTTCCCACCCGCTTGTAGTCGGCCTTCAGGTGCCAGTTGTTCTCGAACGGAGAGCCGGGTCCCCCTGAGAGAGAGACGGACTCAGGTCAGATGATGGCAGTTGATATCTCGAACGGAAAGCCTAGCGCCGGCGGACGGACGGCAGGGGACACGGGCGGGTGAGAGGCCTGTCGTGGAGCGTTACAGGAGAGGAAATGAACTCAGAAATAGCTCTGCCACTTATGAAATAATGCTCCGTGACCGAAAATAGCATACCAAGCTGATGAACCAGAGCATAGCGCTAGGCCTGCCAGCTAATCAGGACAGATATATGAGATCATCCAACCAGTCTGCAAATTTAGATACGTGAATCGCACAGAAACCTGGTAAGACGTGGAGTGGACTGACCACCACGATCTATGATCTATAAGGTAAGCGCTAGCTGAATGAAATAAAACAAGCATCAGATGAGCTCAGGCTTCTGACATTCACAATTGCAGGACAAGACAAAATGCCTTCAATTCCACAATGACGGGGACTTTACCGTCAAAACGTTACAGTACCTCGCGTCTCTAATACTATAAATGATCAATTATGACACATCACTGTCGTAAACACCAGCACAGAAAATTCAATTTTCACCATCCCAGTGAGCCTAACCAAGCCACCACTGGCGCGATGAAATCCAGTTCCACCCCTGATGGCCCCTGCCCCGGACCGGGATCAGTCAATGCGTATAGCGTTGGTGGCGGTGAGATCGACTGCTTAGTGTGTTTGCATGTGTGAGGGCCCCACACCCACGCCGATGGACTGCGACAAGAGGGCTGACTCACAGAACAGCAGCAGCTCCAGGTTGTACTTGAGGCCCTTGCTGAGGTAGACCACCTCACCCAAGCAGGGTACGTTGAAGCGCAGCGGAAGGACCTGTGAATATGAGCCGATGTGTCAGTATGGGGCAAAAAATCAATGGTGTCTTTTAAAAACACACTGACCGGCGGAAATATAATAATAATTTTATAACTTGGCATCGAATCAGCTGTTGAAATCAATCTATCGAACGATGACTGGCGCCAAGGTTATGTGCCCCGTATCATCGCAAGCTTTTCATAAACTATTGATCAGGGCCAGCCCGTCCCGCGATAAAATGCCGCGCCGCCTAGCCTACATGATGGCTTCAGAAACACGTCATGGGCCAGATCAAAAGCAATTCCAGACGAATTCACATTGACACCGCAGATCGAATTTGATTCGAGCTTCATATGCCTTTGTGCAACTGTATGGAAGTTCGCGGTATGCAGCGGTAGTTTTCAACCGTCGACAAAAAGAAGGCAGCGACAACATTATAACAAGACTACGCCACTTCCAGCAGGACCCTTAATCATTTGCATGTCGTAAACGAATTGTCTGTGTCTCGAATAATGTGCTCTACAAAGATCAATTGGTCCATGGGTCATGGCTGAGAAAATCATTCATCAGGCGATAAACCAGCTATGTGTCTGGCATAACCGCGCAATAACAAGCCAGGATTCGCAAAACCGTGCTCTGGAGCCCGCAAACAAACCCATTATCCCCGATCATTCGGCCAAATGCCTGCTCCCCGCTGCCGTTTTACGATGCGCCGCGGTCCATTCGCGCACGGTGCAGAGGTCGTTCACCTCACAGCGGGGATGGGCGAGGTCGTTCACCCCTCGGCTGGGACGGCAGGCTCGTAACGTATGCAACAGCCTTGGCGAAACGACGTCTCATCCGGCAGACCAGAAACTGACAGTGCATATTTTGTGCGTATACGAAGGCAAGCCTGACCGCTTTGAAGTGCCGATGGAAAATCACACTAATTATGCGTCGAAAATCATATTCGAGTTCTGAAGTCGGCTTATGCTTTAAAACTCATTTTGCGGTAGACTCGGAACATAACCGTATCATGCATAAAACGTTTCCACCAAATATCGTGACCCCCAAATCATAACAAATTTATCAGCCAAGCATATACAAATCTATCTCAGAATGGGCTTACGGTCTCATACATTGACGGCTCGACGACCGCATGCTGTGAGCGCGTGATTCAAAGTTCACTCCGCGCAAACACTTCGCTCCACTACCACCCACGTGACCAAAGATGCGGCTCGTCACGTCGGCGAACGCCCCCCCCCCCCCCCCCCCCCCCACCATCCCGACCTTCCTACCCACGCGAGATAGCCACTGACACAACACGGAACGCCGGTACTGATACGGCCGGACAGAATAGTGCGGAGAAGCACAGCCATCCTCGCAGAGCGTTACTAACAGCGAGAATCTAAATGCACAATGAGTCGGCTAGGATCATTATATAACTGAATCTGAAGCGAAACAAATGGGAGAAAAGTGTGGTGATATTGGGTCGAAGCAGTACGAGATGAACCCGATACGCGCTTATACACATGACATATGACCCCATCGCGAAAATAACGTGCCCAAATTAACACCGACTGATAAACTGTCAAAAGTTAGCAACGCCCGGTCATTTCAGTTATTTCGGTCCACTTCCCGGCCGGATCAGATGTCTCTCGTAGATATCATTTAGCGTCTCGACTCGGACAACTGATACCCACACAACGACTTGGCACCGCGCCAGAGGACGATCCGCCGCCACGGCGGGGTCGCACGCGGAAGGTAGATGGCCCAGATGGACGGGAGACAAAGCTATCTCTGTCCTGACAGACGGCCTACCGCTGTATTGACGACTCGTACACACAAAAAGGTGCTGCATGCGTGGGTGCAGGACACACTCAGGTACACCCACACACACATCGCATCGCAGCGGAAGGCCAAAGTCAACACCTCTGTACAGAGTATGTTGAAGTCTTGTGTGCGTTTAGACAAGAGGGACCTCTCAATGAGAGCGACGCAGTTACCCTTGGCGCAGTGTAAAGCGGAATGCTCGGGTCAAATTGCACGGATAGATTTCATCGGTCGTATTGGATTTCAATCACGTCTGGCATCCATTCGAAGTCCAGCGAGCGATTGTGTGTTTCGTAGAACCACTTACTGCAATCCCATTTCCAAAGGACACGCAATCCAATGATGCGAAACACAATGAAATCAAGCTGTTCACAATAAAGCGTTCTAGCCGCGGCACTGAAAGCGACAATGAAAGCGGCACAAAAAAAAAACTGAACACTGTAACAACGCTTATCCTTCACTGCTATACCTTAAATACATGATGGCGTCTCTTGCCTGTCCCGCCACACCATTGCCCATAACCAACCGTCATCGTCATTCAGCATAATCAGACCATCCTAAGCGGACCAGAAAGCCGTTGAAGATTCTTTCATCCCTTACCTGCTTGTTCACCATTGCCACCATGTAGTTTTTGAAGCGCAGGATCCGGTTATAGATGTCCAGTTCAGTGAGATCAGTCTTGTGGATGCACATTTGCTGCTCGTGCTGAACTTCCCTGAGTCGCTGCTGCACCTCGTACCACGTGTGGTTGTCCAGCTCAGACTGCACGGGGAGAAACGGACAATGATGACTTCAGAGTACGGCACAGGGAGCTCTGACGGGTTGCGATCGAAGCAGTGTCCTAGGATCTGAAAGTTTGGGTGAAACTTGACACCCTAACCATAATAATTTTCCACTCCTTTTGAGGAAAAATACAGATATTTTTCACTCTTTCGTGTTCAGCGAAACCAGTAACGTTCTAATAAAGTGACAGATTGTTAAATTTTGCCAACAATTGTGAGACATTTTCAGTGAATTTCCTCCTCACTCGTTCATACAAGTTGTATTTCCCACTCTGTCAGTGAATTTTCGCTTTTATTTTTCCACTCCGCACCCTGGCCCAAAATCAATCCTAGGACACTGGATCGAAGGCAGTAAGCGGTAGGGGTAGTTAAGGTCTTACAGAGTAAGCAATGTTACTGAGCGGATATTGGAGGTCAGGATCATGAGCAAATATGTCAAAGCGCACACCCTGCATGGCGCACGCATTCAATGGACTATTTTGGCACACATGTGATCAATAATGCAATGTCAAAACTCTGTCTGCCTTTTACATTCACGACTCACGATCGAGTCTATTTATCGTTACTGGTCACAAGTCCTTCAGAAAAACTGCAGTCCCATTCCAAACACTAGCCATCCACCGACACCCGACCCGACCAACTCACATCGCTGATGCCGAGCGCCGCGTTGAAGAACACCTTGATCTCCCAGAACTGGACAAAGTTGTAGCCGACCTTGACCATTCTCAGTAGCCAGAAGAAGGCGGCGACCAGCAGACAGAGCACCACGGAGGCCGGCGGCCGGGCCATGCACTGTCCGGCCGGCAGCAGGACGTCCCACAGCGTGGTCTTGCCGCGGTGTTCGCTGCGACTGCCGGCAGCGGGCGGACCGAGCGTCGCGTACGGTGAGGCGGTACCGGCCGTGTCGATGCCCAGCACGGCCACCAGCCACGGAGAGGAGGGCGGAGACGGACAGGCCGAGCAGCTGCCGCCGCACGGCCCAGGCACGGTGAGCGGACAGGATCGGCGGATGAGTGGATCAGGGTGGAGTCGTGGAATGAGAGCTGGTGCGTGGGATACTTTTAGTTCGGGATCGATTGGCATTCTACCCACAGTCTACACTAGACTTGGACATGAAAACAGCTTAATTAACATCAAAGAAAATGATGCTATCCAGCTTATGAGCTTTATCAATAAACCGAACGATTTATGACAACTTCCCCACTCGACAACTGAAAGCAACAATAGCACCGAAAGCCTGGTCGTTACAAAAGCCTGGTAAATTGTCGAGTGAAACGACTTCTCTAAACCTTACGCTACCCCATCCCTAAACATCACTCCACATGACTCACTTGAACAGACGATCATAGTCGACGCACGTCACCAGGAACAAAGAGAACGTGACGACAAAGAAGAACTGGAACAGCTCCAAGAACTGGCGTGTCATCATGCAGAGGAAGCCGTGCTGCTGGTGGTACTGGTACACCCGCGTGAAGAACGTATCCAGGTCGTCGATATGATTCCAGCGCGCTGCCGGCGAGAGCGGACGCGACGTACGCTCAGAGGAGTCGGTGCGTTTCACAGGGGACGATCGGAGTTTGAGTGAGGAGGGACGGCGCCAGGAGAGTCGCCGGCGGCTGAGCGAGCTCGGGACGCTGGAGGCCGACTCGCCGCCCGAGTCGCCGCCGCTGTCCACGCTGGTAAAGGTGGCCTCCCGGCGCGGCGGACCGGCCGGCCGGCTGGAAGCCGTCAGCGCCGAGCGAGCGCTGCCCGGGGAACGAGAGCTCACCCGCGAGCGCAGGCTGCCCGGCGAGCGCGAGCTCTCGAACTGCGAGCTGGCGAACGATCGAGAGCTCGCCAACGAGCCCACAGACAACGGCATGGCGGGGATAGTGGTGATGGGCGCTGGACGATGGCCTCACGCTCTGGACCCGGATTGTTTATCGGTTAACGACAGCGCGAAGAATAATTCCAGTGAAAGCATATGTTACATTACTCAACGAACGGAAGAAGCCGAACAAATACATCCTTAGAACTTAGAACGGTGTGCGCAAGAATAAAAATGCAGAAAGAAAAGACGACAAAATTTGACAGCATCGACATCATTTCACTGCATATAGCACGCATCGTGATCATTCACGAACCTCCGTTCAGTAAGTACGTACATAATCTCCGTGAAATTTCGGCATCTCCACAACACTCGCAATCAAATGGCATCTTTCAGTTAGCGCCACGAAGTGGCTCGAAATACGTACCTGGATTATGGTCTGGTACATGGATCACATGGGCCGGCCTTTTCGGGAACATATTGCTGGCAGGCCCCTGGTATGTGGCGTGGCTGGAGGGTCCCTGATAGGCCGTGTGGCTCGCCGGGCCCTGATAGGTGGCCAGGCTGGAAGGGCCCTGGTAGCCATCGCCCTCCAGCGGGCGGTAATGCGTTTCCAGTGGCATTGCCGCCCTTCTCAGTCCAGCCACCGTTGTATCATACGAATTGCTTTTCACTGGAGACTATTGTCGCGCATTGCAATCCTGCAAACCAAGTACAGAGTCATTGAGCGGCGGGGAAGCACAACGGTACCAATAAGGAAAACCGTGATGGTCGATTCTTCAGTCAGCATTGCACAATGCCTTGTAAGCCATTGCAATGAGCTAGCTGTCATTAAAGTGTATCCAGACAGCAGCGATTGGTTTGCATTCTGAAAGTGCGCGAATTGGAAAGAAATGACCGCCCACGAACTTCGATGATTAACAGTATCCGGCATTCTAGAGCCCTCTGGTAAGACTCAACGATAAGTGTTGGAATATTCTAATAACAGTAGCAAGTGAAAAAGAACATGTTATACATGCTGGCTGCCAAATTTGTAGAAAACTGACCCAAACGCTTGCTCATCAGCTGCTTTACTATTCAATGATACAGCTAATGAACGTTCTTTGTAATTTTTGGTAATCGTAACAAAGACACATTTTCGAAGAAAGCTTGGGTACCGTAAAGTGGGGCTATTTGAGACAGTGGGGCTAGTTGAGACAGTATTTAAAATCGCTATAAAATGAAGATCGTTTGATTCTTTTGTGATGTTTTTCTTCAGGGAGGTGTGGAATCGAGCAGTAAATCGCCTGGCCAAAAATTGAGCACAAATTTCAAATGGTTTTTATTTTATAGCAATTTTAAATACTGTCTCAAATAGCCCCACTGTCTCAAATAGCCCCACTTTACGGTACGCTCAATACCGGCATTCACAGGACTGGACTGCCAGGAGGCGGGGGAGGGGGGTGGGGGAGAGAAAAACGACGACTCGGCGACAAAGACCATTTGGCAGAGCTGTTCTGTCAGGGCCGTATGCAGCGGATGAGTGCGTACCAGCCTGGTGGCCCGCCCCGACACCAGCCGTCGACGGCTTGTCACTGCGACTCAAAAGGTCAGCAACTGCTGCTGTCACTGAACAGAAGGCAGTGCGGTGGAGACCAAACGAACGAACGATACCATAAACCGTTATCGCGGAAAACACAACAAAGGAAACTAAAAATATACGACCGGCATCAACAGGCACTACTGCTTGGAAGCCATCCAAAGCACGTCATGTGCGACAAAAGTGTTGCACAAGCACAATCTATTACGTCTTGAACGACTTATGGATTCATATCCGCAATTATATCAGACTACTTTCATATCGGTGAACCAGAGGCTGACAAAGTGGTAGGGCGTCGGATCCGTGGTGTCGCGCAACAAGCTCTGCTAAAGCATGAGCCCAGGCCATTAACCAGCAACCACTCATCGACCTAAGAAAAAGAATATGGGACTGGGGAGCTCACCCCACAGATCTTGATTTGAGGTCCTAAGCAATGACAGATCTAGTTTTTCCTCATTTTATTCATTTTGAGGTCATGGATCTAAACATGATTTATGTTCAGACCAAGTCCAACAGGTAATTTTCATTGGGAAATATTAACTATAATAAAACCAAATCTGAACCCTTGAATGGAAGAAGCAATGTGCATTTAACAGCTCTAAATATTGATACAAATATAATTATGATTCTACAGCAAAATCAGATGAATAAATGGAAATATTTCATCTGTTTTTGCTTTAGAGGATGTCTATGAAAATGATATGTATCCATCCTGAAATTGATGTTTGCTGAGGCATAAACTGATTGAAAAAGATGATTTCAATGGCTAACATGCAGCATCATGCAGCAACTTGACAAACAATAGGAAACAAGTCTTTACCAGAAGGAGTGTAACAGGCTCTCTGACCTCTCCCTGCCCTGGTTAGCTTAGCAGAAGGATGCTTCCAAGCCTTAGCAGAGGCAGCTGGGGCCAAGGGGCTTGAGGCAAATTCTTCAATTGATGACTGAGTGATAATTTATTTATTTTTCCCTCAAATAGACAACTGTATTGCCTATTTACAGGCAAGCTCCTGCTCCTCCTCCTCCTCCTCCACAGTGCAGACTTCCTCCTTAGAAGTCTGCACTGTGGCTGTACTGAGGGTTCACCCCGCTTCTGTCGGACTCGGCACTTGGCATAGCTGAAGATGGCAGCCTTGAGATTGGTGTCGGTTAGCACTGAGAAATCAATCTTGATAGATCCCTCATGAAACCAGGATCATGCTTTTACCAATCATGCTGATGCTACCAAGTACCATGGTGGGTGGACCATGTTTCATACTTAGAACAATAATCACACACATCACACATGTCCCCACCTTTATTTTCAAGGACTGTAACATAAATAATAAGTAAAATCATCATCATATCATACAAATGCAATTAATAATTTCAAATGAATATGAGTGTCCTGGACCCCTGCGTAGCTGTAACTTAAATCCCACGGCAGAATCATGTGAATGCAGTATGCACCTTTACCTTAATTCATTTTACATAACAAGGACAAGAGGCATGAGTCATGTCAGTCTTATCTTGTATTAATTTAACTGATGGCCAAGCCAGTCAGTAACAAAACCATTTTAACTTGGACATCATTGATATCATCTGATACTCATTGCATTGAGCAATCGGAATGTGACTGGGCACAAAAAAAAATCCAAGTTAAAGTAATGAAAACTAGGAACAAAGATAGCATTGCCTTTATTTACATCAAATCATTCAGTAATTCTGAGAGGCTTGAGGTCAGTCTCAACTGTCTCAGTCTGCTACGCCACAATAACAAAGAGACTTCACCAAGGTGAGCACGAGTAGTTCGATACAGCTTCGACTACTTCAAATATTGAAACACTAGCCAAATATAATGCAGAGCATACAAACGAATAATTATTCAAAAGAAACGGACTTACCTTTGTTCCAACGTCCCCTTTGTTGTGTTAACCAAGCGACGCCAAGGTCGCGCGCTGTGATGACTGAGGAAATGTTTTGATTCAAGGTACAGCTAAAAGCCAAGCGATAAAACAGCTGATTCGCAGTCAGCTGATCCATGTCATTTGTGTTTTCTTTTATTCCCCCACCCCCCACGATCAGCCGCATGACATTGGCTAGAGGGGCTAGAGGTAAAAGTAAATAACAAGTATAATAATTGTCATATTGTACTTTTTCATGTTATATTCTTTCACAATCTTTTTTTTACTAAGCGAGCTGTCAGATATTTGTCGGGAATGTCACCGGCACCATACCGGCACACACTAACCCTATATGTATCTTTCCTTTTGCCCACAGGAAGCCATGGTCCATCAAAATACGTCAAAAATAGGTATAGCTTATGCTTCGATGAAAATCGCCGTTCCGTCTTTTCCATCATCAGGGCATCATTCCATCTTTCTCATGTCCAGGGCTGACCACCTGATCTGGGTTGGACGGTCACCTTCATCCGGAATGATTGTAGGATGACCGCGTCACCGGAACGACTCTCAAACAGGCGTGCAGCCGGGTGACCATTGGCAGGCGAGACTACTGTAACGAGCTAGCCCCTCGTTAACCAGGGCGGCCGCCCAAACCAATGTCTCGTCTCCCCCAGTCCCCCTAATCCTATCATCCGTCTGACTCCGGAAAGGTCTCGGCAGACCAAAAGGGCCATTTCATAAAAACAAAACCAACACATCGAAGAACATAATCCAAGGTTCGGACACCAAATTTTCTATAAATGGTTTCAGCGGACTGGGTAGTACAGGGGAGGTTCAGTACAAGATACTCATAAACACCGGCGAAGGATCCTGCAGCCGGCTGCGATTCTAAGCTGGCATGACGTCATCAAGGTTCACGAAGATGGACCGTACCAAACCAAACACCGTTACCGTGCTGTGTGTTTATTGGACATAACGCTGAGGCAATGCCACTGAAGCAGCCGTCAAAGTGGGACGGGGACCGGGCGCGGGGTGGGAGATTGCCAACACAGGGCTGCTCCGGCCGCGCGCGCTTCACCCGCTCCACGCTTAGCTTGCCAGGAATGTGCCCTTGTCACCGTGACAACCAATTAAAGCGAGACAGACTAGACAGAATACACCAATATCACGCGTATCACCGCATATCAAGCCGACCTCGAACCTCAGTGCACAGTTCGAACAAACTGCAATAAAAGTAGCCATCACCGATCACCCCCGGTGCAATACACATTCTAGATACCTGGACCACTCCAGAATCGGATGAAAACATGCAAACTAAGTCAAACCAGACCCATTGTATACAGATCTACGATAAATCATATCTACTAATGTGTACCTTACTACATTTAAACCGCAAGGAGGCATTCCATTTTGGCTTCATACACCAAAATGTGGCAAGATCAGGAGACAGCCCCGGTTTCCGCAAAAGCAATATCACATAAATGAGCCATCACATGGCTAAGGAACAATTAAGTACCCAGACAAGTCCAGATCACCAAAATGCAATTACAAACACCGCACAAACAAACACTATCTGAAACCTTGTCCAATGATTCATGTCTAAGTAAAGACATTAGCTCAGAAAGTAAGGCATTTATCGTTATTCCGGTACTTCTTGATGCCGAAACTGAAAATTTCTAACCGCAAAAGTTCGTAACACACTGAACAACAAAAATCACCATATCCCGACTTACATGATCGAATGGTAGACTCAATATCGGTGCAATAATTCGGCTGGGAAAGAGCACGCTGCCAAAATTCTAAGCTCAGATATAATGCGGTGAGGGCTTCACAATCAGAGCCCATAATGCAGATCTTCGTGAGAGGGAAACGGGCGAACACAGACGGGTACAATCAGCCTGGTCGGCGCATTTTGATATCGTGTCACACTTTCGATGTTGCTGGTAGCAGCACAAATGCTATCGAAACTGCAATAGCTACACCACACACAGCACCGGCCACCGAATACGAGTTTCAACCTTAATGCTGCTTTCCTAAATGCGGACGATGATGACCATTGACCAGTCAATGCAAATTCCAAAAGACCCATGAAATAGCATAATGTTGTAAACATTGTGATAGAGTTTTGGTGGCGATGTTGCAGTTGGGAGAAGCATTTTGCAAGAATGGCAAATAAACCTTCATAAGCAGAGGTTCCAAGCTAAAGCGTCTCAACGTCTTATTCCCTGCCATTTCTGCAGATATGCCGACCTACATTCCTTACAAGCAAAAGTGCCACCCTATCTTCCACCCTACTCACTAGTTCCACTCCCGTTTTAAAGAACTCTCTCCATTCTCAGATCAATCCCTCTTCCACGCATGTCCGCAGTTTCCGTCCGTCCTCACTCAGCCGGTCTTCAAGTTCCCCTCCCGCGCCTGCCAAAGCCACCCGCTGCGCCTACTTGTAGAACTGCAGCTCGCTTTCGATGCAGTCCTTGAAGAGGTCGCAGAGTTCGCCCGCCTTGTCGGCCGTGTACTGCTCGAGGAACTGGTCCAGCTCGGGCACACAGCGCTGCTCGAGCACGCGCACTTCGTCGTGACGCTCGGGTCGGGCGCGCAGAGCCGCGGCGTGCAGACGGTACAGACGGTGAGCGCGGTCCACCGGCCGCTGGAAACGCGGCACCGTCTGCCGCACGGCCAGAGAACGACAGGTTAGTTAGGTGAAGATGGATACTGATCGGATGGTTTACTACAAATAACGAATGGGACATTAAGCACTTCAAGGTCAAGGCACACAATCACAACCATAATTAATTTATTCCCACCGCTATGCATAAGTCAGAGAAATCTCACAAAAGCGGGACGATGTTTCTACCTCCAAATACAACCCTCTATCCATTTCATCATCAACAACATAGCAAAACAAAGCTGTCTCGCTGGCTGCCTGACGCACCAGGGCCCACCATTCACCAATCCATCCCACAGCTTCGCCACAACCAAACCCCATCACACCTGACCCTACCGAGCGCCACACACCCCACCCTCCCTCTCCAGCGGTCCTCTCACCTTGGCCGGGTCGTTCTCGATCTCTGGGCTCTGGATGTGGGGCGACACGCGCGCCCCATCCACGAACACAAACGGTTTGAAGACGGAGCGCTGCGGGTCGGGGGTGCCCGTGAACCAGTGGCAGGCCGGTCGGGCCGAGTCGGCAGGAGGCAGCACCGACACCTGAGGGAGGGGGAGATACAGTCAAACGCGGTGGGGTGGATGGGTGACGTGTTGATGTCTTCAGGCATCAAGAAAAAGGTTGTTGGTCAACTGCGCTGCATGACAGCATATTGTGCTTGAAAGGCACCTTGTGCTAGAAAGTCGTAAGCAGCTTCCAGGATTCCCAGTAGTCAGTACCAAGCAAGTATATTAAAAAATTCAACAACGTAACTCTAGGAGCATTCGCTCAACTTAAGTAATTCCTTGAATCAATGGCAACCAGCATACACATTACACACTACACAAACATTTCCGCGACTCGAAAACGACCTGCTGTAATAAAAAATGAGCCAGACACTTCAGTCAAACGATACAAATACGAAACCGAATGAGGTAACGGAAACGCAATCAGCATTTCAAACAAACCGTGACTCGCAGCTCCTGCATAGCTCAGAAGCCCCACAGTTCATCCCGGTCGAAGGTTAGGAGTACAGGCTGAGCTACACTATGCGTGACCGTCCAGGAAATTACGTGCGTGATCTGCAGATCCGTGATTGCGAGACTCCCTTGACATCGGTTTCTGCGTTTTTCCAGAATTTCCGTGAATTATTGTATAACGCTGACGTAAAAATAACAAAGTTCTAACAATTGGTTTCGCAACAAACGCTTAAGTCTGCTGTCTTCTATATTATTTTATCGATAAATAGTTTATTTTGTTTATAAAACATCAATAACACATTAAAATTAAAGAAACAATTATTAATTACGTCACTTGGATTCATACGGTGCGCCACCAAGTGCGCCAACAACTGTCTCATATCACGCAATCTCGCAGATTCTGCAAAAAAGTTCGTAGCTTGAACATCCTGACCGTCCTGACTATCCAGCATTTCCTGTACTGAACGTCCCGGATTTCCTTGACTGAATCTGCGTGACCCCAGTGTAGCCGACCCTGTGTATTTCCTATCAGCTGAACTTGACCTGCGTACCGATTTTCTGCAAAACCCGCAAACACGCAGATCACGGACACAGAATCCCGCATAGTGCAGCTAAACCTTAAGGAACTCGGCGGTGACTGACCTGACTGGCTGCCGTGTGGAAGGCGTCATCGTACGGACGACAGATGCCAGAGGGCTCGTCCCGCAGAACCGTCAGCATGCTCTCCACGTCAAATTTGCCTGTGAGGGAGAAAAAAGAATGTGTTAGATACAATGGGGATTGGGGATGGTATTACGAGTAATAAGCATCATGGAATGAGCAGGGGCGGCTAGTTGACAATATAAGCAAAAAAAGTGAGATGATTATCACATAATCATCGGAAATGAGTAGCGGGAAACAGATATCAGCCAAGAACTAGACTACCTAAATAATCTAAATCATTATCGAGCTTGAAAGATTAGAATGCCGATTTGTGGAAAGTAAGCAATAATCGGGTCGAATCGAAACAGGCAGTTATCGGCTGTCAGGCAGCCAGTGCCGCCGTGTGCTAAAAATCACGGGAATAAATCGATAAATCACATCGACAGGTCACAGAAACCTTGTCAACAAGGTCAACAGCCAACATCTCAACACACCAACGCACATACATCAGAACGGATAGTTGCAGTTAGCCTGTCGCAGCAGCAGGCAGTCGCGATGAAAGGAAACTAAAGCACACTCCACCCTATAACGGTGATCGTTCAGCGCCGACGGTAAGCGCCGCAGCTGCTTACCGTCGGCAGCGAGCTTCTCCATGAGTTTGCGCCCCTCGGTGAGGCGACTGCAGCCTTTCCATTCTCCATCCATTGCAAACACCTGCCGAAAACGGGGGCAGCGTGATTGGTGCTTATAACTAGTGCTTGTGATTGGTGAATTATAATGATGTGTTCGATGATTAGACTTTATCATCAACCATTACCAACACAGCAGGGCGAAATAACAATACATCGGACAGCAATACATCGGACAATACATCGGACAACAATACATCGGACAAATTAACTGCAAAGTGGAAGCAAAATACATAAAATGCCTGAAATGAAGATGGAGTAAGAGGCGGAATGTCTTCCCAAGCCACTAAAGGAAATCAATTTAAGGAGACCATATCAGCGGCGTCCGATCATGCATCAGATCGGACATGGCAGCAGATTGGCAGCGGAATTACCCAATTGAAATTCAAATTACGGAGAGCATGGCGCTATAAATTTCGTCGACATCAGGGTAATGTTGCGGCCACGCGAAATAAATGACTTTCCGCAGCAGCGACATCTAAAACCTTATAGAATCTTCAAGTACATCTCGAGAAGGAAAGCAGACAACCAAAACGACGCATCACTACGAAGTAGCGCAATGATAAGAAGCCACAAGAAATAACATCTTACTTGGCAGTTTCAAATGGCGTTTAGATTCATTTTGACTCGACCATTTAAGTCGAACTACCTAAAACTATTCAAAGCCCATTCGAAGGCCCCGCTCTGACCTCCCAGCTGCGCCCCGCCTCCCGCACCTTTTTGAAGCTGAACTCTCCGCTGCCGTCCCAGAGTCCGCGTGACTTGGCCTCCGACTGCAGGTCCGGGTGCTGCAGGTCCATCTCCGTATCAATGGTCAGGCAGTTGCTGATGTTGGCCACTCCAGCTGCGGCGGAACGCAGGGAGGGGAATGTTACTGACTGCCGACTGGTCACTAACCAGGCGCCAGAGCGAACAAACAGCAGGAACATGCAATTGCACAATGCACAATATATGACACGTTGATGATTAAACGATTGATTGAGATCCACGCAATGCATAAAAACGCTAAAAGGTCACCGGAAGGAAATGACTGAAAAATCATTACTTAATTTCAATCGGAAAACGGTCGATAACGCCAATCAAATAATAAAAAAGAAACTATTATGCCATCGCCATCGCAAGAGCATAGAACACAGTATACAACTATACATACAAATTACAGAGGCCTCTTGTTGCTGGCTATCTTCTCAAAATTTCTCTGAGCTCGGCCTCGTCCTCGCCACTCACCGGTGATGCGTTTGGCGGCCCACAGGTGTCCGGCCGTCTCCAGGACCCAGGCCTCGGCGCGGTCGGCCAGCAGGAACGAGTTGTGATAGACCAGGCTGGTGTCCGTGTCCGAACACGCACCGCCCTGGCCGTGAGCCGCCAGCAGGGCCGTGATGACCTCACAGCCCTCACGGGCAGTGGCCGCACGCTCCAACGCCAGACTGCCGGTAAAACGGAGGGGAAAATGACAACACCGAACAATTGCATATTAGAGTTTCGTCTTTCAGACAACAGCACTGAGCGCATTAACACGAATTTACTTTACATTATTTTTTTCCTGGTAAAGGAAATTACATATCTTGATTTATCTGGTCAAGAATTCCTCAAACTGTAAATATAGCAGTACCTATTCACATAAATAAAAGCCCATTTATCAGATATCCTAGTGACAGTCACTCGCTGTCCGCTGGGAGCTTTTTCCTGCAGATAACGATGCCTACCACCGGGCTCCACTTACCGGACCAGGTCCATGCCGAGCAGTTTCTCGGTCTTATCGTCATCCGACTGGAGCCGGGTCCAGACAGCCTCGTTGCCCACGCAGAGACCGTGCTCGTTGGCGCCCATCTCGGCACCCCACATCCAGGCCGGTCGGCTGAGCACCACAGCGTGTGTGGAGGCTGCCTGGTCTATCTCGATGTAGGTGCACTGTGGGTGTGACCATGAACAGGGTTAGATGAATGCTATTGAGACTTGAGGTTGAGGGAGACAGAGAGAAGAGAGGTGGAGAGAACCAGGCCAGCAAATGGTAGGCATCACTTGCCTTTAATTTGGAAAAGTGGAATAATGAATTCATGGCTGTCTGCACTTCTGCAGTAATGACCACTTTGCTAAGGATGCTTGTGATTTTTAGCTTAGTAGGGTTCATGGCAAATGAAGATATTGCAGTCAGCCTCTTGAATAAACAGTGGGATATAGATTGTGACTTAACTGGCCTTGGGGGCAGCCTCAAGGGACATAAAGAAAGGTGCTGGGTAGATTGCCTGTACTTGCCTGTACTTTGGAGCCTGCCTCATGAGTGGCAGCAGGGAAGTGTAGCACTTCCTGCACTTCACCCTGTGGTCTGTCAGAGTTCTTGCCAAACACAATGAAGCCTCTGTTTGTAGCAGGAGGCAAGGCCACAAAGGTGTCACAGGAGACCAGAGAGTCAGCCATTGTACCTGAAACAGGCATAATGGGTAACATAATTGAGCAATCAGCATTCTGGTTGGAATTACATAACCTGTAAAATTTCAACTGCATGAATCAGCCTGACACCTCCATATTATTTAGTATTTACTCACTGCATCAAAACTCATGCAAGTGTTATGGCCTACCAGCTCATCAAATGAACTGTAAGTATGATATGAAGTTCTTTGGAAGTCAATTCCTTGGGAAGCCAACAGACATGAATATTAATTTATCAAGCCTAATCAAATCAAACTGTGTTTGCTTGCAATACTATCATCAAAAAGCACACACATCCCATATATGTTATGCATATAATATTTTGGTGAATTTACATAATGAAAGTGATGCTGAAATTTACTCTCTGGAATAATAGGCACACTGGCAAAGGCTGAGAAGCTTGTTTAAAAAATAAAGCTAAATGACAATTTTAACAATAAATAGGTACCTAAGCCATTGTGTTATGTGTAAATGCAAAACTTTTGCTTTCCAGAAAGCAACAATTTTACCTAATAATATTCTTATAATGGCACACCATAAGAACACCAACAAGGGCAAATAATCACAAAAAATTCATGCATCCCCTTCATATAAAATGATCCCCGCGATGAGCTCAGCCTACTAAATACTAATCTCAGTCGGGGAAACTATGGTAAAATCTGCTATTTTTAGCAGTCTGCTATTTTTAGCAGAAATCTGCTAAAAATGGGTACGCATGTGACGTCATCGTACCCAAATATAGCTGATTTGGGTACGGCCCCATACAAAAGCAGATCTGCACCCTAATAGAAGCAAATGCGCATCAAATGCCTGGCAGATTCATGATGAGAATAGAGCTGAGAGTGTTCTCTGCTATTTTTGTTCAGATCCGACTATTTTCAAATTCATTATTTGAAAATAGTCGGATCTGAACAAAAATATCAGAGGACATTCTCAGCACTATTCTAATCATGAATCTGCCAGGCATTTGATGCGCATTTGCTTCAATTAGGGTGCATATCTGCTTTTGTCGGGGGCCGTACCCAAATCTGCTATATTTGGGTACGATGACGTCACATGCGTACCCATTTTTAGCAGATTTCTGCTAAAAATAGCAGACAGCTAAAAATAGCAGATTTTACCATAGTTTCCCCGACTGATCTCGATTGCAAATCATAACATTCCAAAAATGTTTAATGATGTGCAAATTACACATGCAATGAAACAGATTGAGAAAAACAAATCAATGTTCTAGCAGGAATGCCACACTCAGACAATCATGATCACCAAACTTGAACTGATAAATTTTGAATACCTTTTCAAGCTACTGATAGGCTGCAGTGGTTGGTACGGTTGGTACCTATATAAATCAATTAAGCAGCAAATAGCACTAAAACACTCACCCTCTAATAAATTCTGCAAAAAGCCCAGCTGCAAAGGCTGCAACACTGCAATACGGCAACAATACGGCAATCGGCGACAGAAATGCAACAAAATAAGCGAAGATGGCGCGAGTGCGACACTGGGCGGTACCCTATTCTGTTCTAAGGACTACCAGATTTACATTCTGAAGAAATTTCACCGAATCAACGCCGAGAGTTCATTTGACACACTTATTCTGCTGCTGGTGATTTGCTGTTTTTCGTACCAGTCGCACTTGACTGCTGCCAATGTGACAGTTGAACAGAGTTTTGTTATGATGACCTTCAGCCGGGTGATGTGACGACAAACATCCCAGCCATTCGTCGGTGGCGTGCGTTGGGGTAGGCTGCGTGCGCTGGGCGGGGCTCCTCCACGGGTTCATTGAGCTCCCGTTGTGTCTCTGGATGGTGTCGTGCTTGTGAAACTTTTGAAAATCGGTGACTAGATACATTTTTCGGTCTGTATTCGGTCAGACTCGTGATAGCAGCTGCGCTTCATTTGCCTTGCACGTACTGGTACAAGACACTTGAACTTCCACAGCTGTGCAACAAATCAAGATGCTGCAAAACACCATGAATGTGTCAGAAGCTGAGTCTTTCCCCAGTGACAAATCTCCAAAGGAAATTCTGACCAACTCTATGCCTGAAGGAGATCCAAATTCCAATACAGATATAACTAAAGAGGAAGAAAGCAAACCAAGATGGGGTCCAAATCACAAGGGTGCAAAGGAACTGGCCAATCTGTACAGTTCAGGTAAGAGCTTGATTTATCTATTATATGCATGTTTCTTTCATTTCTCCTTCAAGTCAGAGTGTAGTATCTTATTTTCCACTTTTCCAGATGCCTGTCTTCTGAATATGCCAATTAGGGTATTGGGATTCAGACTTCAGTGATCATTATCTACACACAGCAGTACAAGCCTACCTAGGTATTCCATGTATTATCAGTAATTTTGAAGTCTTTCTTATCCATAATTTCAATACAACATTGACTTGCTTGACTTATATTTTGGCATTTCATTTGGAACCTTCAGCAAGAGTTCAAAGTACTTATGCATGCATGGATAGATATTGAGTTGCATGTGTTTCATTCATTGTAAATATATTATTTCATCTCTTTCACAGGGAAGAGACTCCAAGAGATCATCTGTTTTTCTCTGGGCATCATGCTGATGGCTGTGAACTTTGTGTTGATGGTGAAGTATCTGAGCTGGGAGGCAGTGCCCTCCATGGTGCTCTGTGCCCTGCTGGGCATGCTCTCTGCTGACTTCAGCTCAGGCATTGTCCACTGGGCAGCTGACACCTGGGGCTCCATTGATATGCCCATTCTGGGAAAGGTTAGCAGTCTGCACAACCATACATAGCTGCATCACAGGGATTTCTGCTGTAATTACTAATTCCTAAGCATCATAAATGATTAGATGCATTCACTTTGATGACTTTCCAATATCTATTACCTTGCACATGAGTACCTGGAAATATGCATAGAATCCTGTAGGCATCCAATGAATATTGCACAAAACCTATGCTGGACAATGCATCTTTACTTGTATTGACACTATGCTGATTTTGCTATAAATTTGGATACCTATAAAAACATGAAAAATGCAATGGCACTCCTTTTCTCATCTCCTCTCACAAAAATTAACACTCCTCCCCGTTCCGCGCGCAGAACTTTTTGCGTCCGTTCCGGGAGCACCACATTGACCCGACGTCGATCACGCGCCACGACTTCATCGAGACGAATGGCGACAACATGGCGCTGATCCTGCTGCCGCTACTGCGGATGCTGTACCAGCTGAGCACGCTGACCGAGGCACAGATCCAGGACAGCTACGCCTGGTTCTCCTACGTCTACCTGCTGGCCGTGTTCGTGGCACTCACCAACCAGGTGAGTCCTGCTGGCGGAGAGGGAGATGGCGGAATGGGGTCTCGGTAACTTTGGATGTGTATGATGTGATCCGAGCGCCCCTGAAATCTGAACGTCACTCAAAGCATTCATTTTCTTTATTCATGGCATTGCCCTTCAGTTATGTAATGCTACACGTCACTGCATGAGTTAACGATGTAATTGCGGTGATCGAATTGCTTTGAAAATGACACCGACACGACAACAGATTCGTCGTACATTATTAGATTAGTGAGTTACTGCACCATTGTTCTAGTAACAACCGTGACACGTTATATGACAAATACGGCTCATAAAAACAATACACGCTGGCCTCCATTACGCATAGAAAGGAATAAATAAACACAATGCACCGCACAATCGGGACATGGCTACCAAGATGAAGCGAAAAAAAAAATGCCAGACAGAAACCTATCACATCAGGTGCCTGTGATCGGGTACGCAAACCATATCTTCAGCCATGAGCTAGGTCTAACATGCGATGATTCATGACTCCAGTGCTGCACGTAGTGTGTTGCTTCTTACAACGAGCTCGCGTGCCAAAATGTGCGGTTTATTTATCGTCATTGGATATTGGGCCAGCTGATAGTCATCAACAAACAATGAACCCTGTTTGATTCATTGATTCCCGCTGGCACCGCGGCGTGGGTAATGTGGACCTTCATAACATGACCCGAGTGTATGTTAACCATGGAACGATAAACATGTTCTGCGGTGTCCAAGACAAAGGTGCAGGGGCGTGTTATACCAGCTGTGCGAGGGATGACGTAACTGCCACAGCGGCCTGATATAGCCGTGGCCCGTGGGGGTGTATGGGCGCAGTGGGCTTACCAAGCCAACATTTCGCGTCCCACGGGCCGCTTTTACGGTTGTAGAACGGAACTCTCCTGTCGCGCTGAGATCCAAGTTGAGACCAATTACGTCCCACAGTGGTCTTCTGACAGTCGTGAAATGACGTGGACAGTTGGGGCGCAGATGTCTCGAAATACCACAGAAATAGCCATGACCTGGGACTGCGCTTTAGGGAGTTTCGGCGTAGTCTTCGCGTTTCACTGTCAAGCCTCTTCTGACTGGGCGTGGAGGAAGCATCAGCCGTTGAGTGGTTTCAGTAGTTAACTGAGGGGGGGGGGGGGCTACTGTCACGTGACCTACCCGCCATGGGCGGCGTCTGCGGTCGATGGCCATTTGGCTGATGACCGCCCACGGTTAGTGATGGCGCCCGGTCACGGTAAGGTCACATGACACGGTGATGTCACCCGTGACGTCATATCTCGGTGCTGGTCGGCGCCCGGTCGGACGGGGAGGGGCGGAGGGGAGGGGTCTGTGGCGTGGGCAGCATGGGGTGCGGTGGCCGGGCAGGTATGTCAGTGTCTCCCCCTCCCCCCCAACCCCCTCGTGCATGCATTAAATCCTATCACGAGGGTGGCTCGTGGTCCGACTGCAGTCATAATTCATGCTGACCGGGATTCACCAGTCGGCTGTGTATTATGCAGTCCAAGCCTTTCTGGCCAAGCTTCTGGCCATGTGTTCCGTGATGTCCTGTGGGTGCAGTACCAGCGGTGGTCGTTTACAGTTGTCAGTCCTTGGGGTAGGCCCGAAGGCAATTAACTTAACACTTCTCAGTCACCCTCCCCCAGCCTAATAAGCAGGACTTTTGCCGGCGATCGATGGTCGAGTCAGTAACAGCATGTTTTATTACTTCAGTTTTTTTTTTCATCACGGATGATTTCCAGAAACTCATGCGACCGTGGCACAAACATGTTTGCGCCGCATGTTTGCTTTACGTGCTGTCAAGCAATCATTCCGTGTTTTTCCGTCTGTCTGTGTATATAAGGTACAGAACTGTTACCCCAAGTGATAACACTTAGTTGGAAGTCTGGCCTGCAGCTGAATCGAATATTGTGATTTTCCAGAAATATTCGGGCTCGTAGCTAGGTCCCCCATCATATAGAAGTATCACTTGGGAAAACGTTATACATCATTCCAGAAGTATAACGTTTTCATTATCTACTGTGGTAAGCTGCTAAACTTCAAAGCATTTTCGATAGAAATTAGATATAATCAGAATACCTAATGGTTGGAACTTCAAACGAATGTCACAGATCGCATGGACATATGTTACGTAATGAACAGCCGAGTTCCGCAAACATTCGCTTTCGGCTGCTTTGACTGCCATACCATTTGCAATGCAGTTATCATCGACAATGCTACGGCGTGTTTCCCTCCAGCAGTTTTTTTTCTCGTTACGGCGCCCTATCACGGAAACCGTTACCGTATCGCGATTACGGGATCGATGACTGTTTTTGCACGCTCACGGCGATACCGGAATCAATTGCCTTCCGATCGCCACATTCGATCATTGGAGGCACGAAACTTCCAAAAGATCGAAGATGTGTCCGTCTACCTGATCGCCAGGCGTCTAACGGTTTTTAAGGGCCTTGTCTTCTAAGGAACTTTGAAAACCTCTTAATGGCATAGGTACCCTACACTGTAAACGGTTGCATAAGCTTCCCGACGCTCGAGCTGCCGTAGGGTCAGAGGTGGGGGGGGGGGGTGGGGGGGGGGGGACACGACCGGCACGGCAAGTCTCCTTTTCCTATCCACCAATGCTAGAAGCAGCCCAGCTGCCACTGCCGTTGAGCTGTTCTTTGCTCGGCTACTGCATCGGTAAGCAGCACCTTCTGACCTTCAACCGCCAGTAACCATTATTCTCTGGCCGGATAAGCAATATTCCATCCTCAGCCACTTTCCCTCTCAGAGTCGGCGCGGTTAGACCCGACAGTCTTGGCCGGGGAGCGTTGCTAAACGTCCCGCACTGGGACCGGGTCTCGCCCGGCCGGCTGCCGTGCTGACCGGTCCTTTGGGCGTCCCGCGCCGCTGGCAGGCCGCCGTCTGACGGCCCACCTCCTCTGTATTATTCATCAGTGACTGTGACGGCAGCGTCAGGCCGAACGGGAGGGGCGGGCCGTTGGCTCTGTTACCCTGTGGTGGTCCTGTCCTGTGATCGCCGTGGAGATGAGACTGGAAAGGGGCACTGTCGACACCGTTCGATATTGGGCTAGGCTGCAGCGATCAGCACGAGTTGAGTGTTTGGCACACCCCGCTCGTAGCCTTGAGCTCTCGACCTACGCGTGCGATCGGACGGGGTCGTCAC